GATATAGAAATGAAGACATTACAGTTGGCTCGCGGTAAGTGGTTTAAGTGAAGCAGTTCTAATGCAAAATGCTGGACAGCCTGCCGACGGACCGGAATCAATGCCAAAGACGATGTTGGTTTATCTTCATGATAGCCGGACAATCTCGGGTGACTGAAACTCTCAGCCTGTGAATCGTTTTATTTTTCAATTCAGATGGTTTATTTACACCAAAACAGGTACATTTAACAGCACAATAAAATGATGCGGCGAGACATTATGCACGGGTGATCCAGATCAGAAGGGCGGGGCAGCGGGTCGCATGGTTGCCTACTTCTTAGATAGGAAATCAAAGGAACCACGCCCTTCGGTCCGGAGTCTGTCTTCATGGCGAGCCCGTTTAGCCAGCTTCCTCTGAAGATGACGATATAGTTTTCCACTCCACATTCAATCTCTTACTACTGGGATGAACGGAGGAGATTTGAATCGCAGACAAATTGTGAGTCGTTCTCCAATATGAATGAAAAATGCTGGCTGGCTGCTAATGCAAGTCTTCAGCCATGCCCAGCTAACAAATAGACCCACAAGACATAAATAAGCCCGTCCACAACCCCTGTTGGAATATCGAAATTGTGCAAGAGACCGCTGAATCCTCCTGTCCCTAACATCAAGTCTCAATTTTTGGTTTCACGAGTATAAATGCTCGCACGGATGATCGTTCCTTGAAATCAACAAGCTTGTCATCGATAGCATGTCATTCCTAACGTGGTTTTAGAAGATATGGTCTGCTAGTGTCCTGCAGATCAAAAAGTTCACTATTGTCATCGTCAAACAGTTGCAAAACCATATTCCTATGAGCGTTAGAAAAGTCGAGATGTATGAGGCATGTAAGGCCACTCATAGAAAGCTAGATGTTGGAAGATTGACAAGGATGAGAGGCGGCATAGGCGTACCAATATCGTTATGACATTTTAAGTCTGGAGCGAAATAGAGTTATCTGGCGCAAGAGGTGCGAACTTCACAAATTTATGCATCTTGTACCATCGTCATTTCCAATGACTCACAGGCCATTGCAATGCTTATCACCTGAGAAAACTATGGTATTGGCACACCGTATGCTGCAGCGGCGAAAATTTCATAGAAAATATTGGAGTGCTATGCCCACTGTATCATATCTAGTATCCCCAAAAATAGGGGTCCATATCTTTGACCCTGAAAAAGTTGCGATGTTTTGCAACATACTATGATATATGTTGAACATTTGTCTCACAGTATACCAAGTTTCTTTCCAAATAACTAATTTTTTGTTTTCAAAATGCTTAAATTTACACTTGCATCTCAAATTGATTTTCGGCAAAGGACAAACTGACCCTCTTCAAAATCACCTGGTGGGAAATTAAGAAATCATTACTTAAAAATTTTGCCACCAGGTGGTTGCCAAGACGTACCACTTCTGATACAGCAGGGTTTTCAACAATTTTCACCTCTATGATTAGCAGGCGAATTTTCTGCAAATTGACTTACAGATATGATACCGGGGGCACTAGAGGGTTAATCTAGAAATGTGCGTGCACACGAATGATAGGGGAAGGGGCCTGTTCCGCTTCGATAACCGCCTGTTAGAAGACCTACAGTTCGTTCACGAGGCGAGGCAGGAGATTATGAAGGCTAATGGCGGCCAGGGACTCTATGAGGGAATTGTTGATCTGGGATTGAAAATAGAAATGTTACTAAGTGAGATCAGGGTGCGTTGTATGAAAATTAGTAAACATAAGGCTCAAGAAAGACGAAAAGAATATAATGCACTCATTGGCGACTTGGATAAGCTTCAACAAGAGATAGCGGAAAACCCATCAGCTGAGCGAGTAGATAGGTGCAGAGCGTTACAAGAAACCTTGGACCGAGCGGAAGAAGAAAAAGGTAAGATTGCCATGATACGATCGGGGGCTAGGTGGTTAGAAGAAGGGGAGAGGCCAACAAAATACTTTTTGAGGCTATGCGAACGTAGAAACAAAGAGAAAAGTATACATGTTTTGCAGCGAACTGACGGGGAAATTGTCACAGGAAATAGAGAAATTCTTAATTATTGCAAGGATTATTTCGAAGGCTTGTATGCTACTCAAGCTTTGGCTGACGGGCCGCCCGATGTGGCCCGTTTTCTGATACCCGCAGATTTTCCCAGACTGAGCCAGGCAGATAGAAGAAAATGTGATGGCGACATAAGTAAACAGGAATGTGAAATAGCATTAAAAGGGATGATGAATAATAAAGCCCCGTCCGTCTCCGGATTCTCTAAGGAATTTTTCCTACACTTTTGGCAAGAAATGGGTGATCTCGTTGTTTTATACATTAACCAGGCTAGGGAAGAGGGTACTTTTTTCATCACCCAGCGTAGGGGAGTAATAACTCTAATCCCAAAGAAAGGCGACCTCAAGCTTATCCAGAATAAACGACCAATTTGTTTACTCGATATCATCTACAAGATAGTGGCGAAGGTTCTAGCAAATCGCACGATGTCGGTCATTCGCGACATCGTGTCGCCGGATCAGACAGGGTCAATACGCGGTAGGTATATTGGGACGAACCTCCGAACCATCGCTGATGTGATTCATTACACTAACGCGGACAAGCTAGAAGGAATAATTATGGCCCTCGATTTCCGCAATGCTTTCAATAGTGTTGAGCACGCGTTTCTGTATGAAGTTTTAAAACTGTTTAACTTCGGCGAAAATTTCATTCAATGGGTTAAACTTTTGCACAACAGAAACGAGTTAGCCGTTATCAACAACGGGTTCACCTCACCATGGTTCTCAGCAGGTAGGGGACTACAGCAGGGATGTCCAATGAGTGGGCTACTCTTCGCACTCGTGCTAGAAACTCTAGCCATTAAGATCCGTAGCGCGAACGAGGTCCGAGGTATTAATGTATCGGGCGAGATTTTCAAGTCAACTCAATACTGCGACGATATGACCTTATTTGTACAGGACCACGTATCTGCTGTTAAAGCCATTGCCTTGGTTCGGGAATTCGGCAATTTGTCTGGGCTAGAATTAAATATGAGGAAGTGTGAGTTTATGTGGGTTGGCTCAAAGAAAGACTGCGAGCAAACAATCTGTGGATGCTCACCAGTTAAAAAAACGAAAATTCTCGGTGTATGGTTTAGCGCTACCCAGAATTGTGCACCTATCAATTTTGAAGCCATCGACTCACGGGTTAAAGGCACGCTCCAAGACTGGTCACAAAGAGCACTCACCCTAAAAGGGAAAATAACGGTTGCAAAAGCCCTAGTAGTTTCTCAACTCGTGTATCACATGGTTGTCACAAGAATGGAAGAAAAGCATTTGGCCATGATACAGAGCCACATCATGAACTTTCTGTGGCGAGGACGGCCGCCCAAGGTGGCCAAATCGACGATCATCATGCCCGTCGAAAAGGGGGGATTAAATGCACCGGACCTGTTATTAACCAATAAGGCGTGCAGAATATCTTGGCTTGGTAGGATGGCAAAGCATAAGGGAGCAACGTTTGTGAAAGCATTGCAAAATAGGCTAGGGTTTAGGCTCGGCAATGTTTTAAACACAGACTTTGAAGAACGCTGGCTAATTAACAGACAGGTCCCGGATTTTTATAAAGAAATGCTACTCTGGTTTCGGAGCATACACCCAGCGAAAACTCCTGAATGCGGTAAAGCAGTTAGGCAACAGCTGTTATGGCAAAATAAGGCACTCAAAGTCAATAATAAGACTTTATTCAACAAGCAACTAGTTAGAGCGGGAATTTGTCTAATAGAAGACATCGTGGACGAGATGGGCGTTATCATAAGCTGGGAATCGTTTTTACTTCGACACGGCATCCGCATCAACCCAATAACATATATGGGATGGTGTCGAGCCATTCCGGCTAGTTGGAAACGATTAATGCGCGGCAGCTGCCAACTGTCACCCGAAGATCGAGACTCAATGCCGTCACTCTCGCTACGCGGTAAAGACATTCCGCTAAGCCTATTAAAAACTCGTGCCTTTTACGAAATCATGCGCGCAGAACGGTTACCGACAGCACAAACCAGATGGGCAGCTGAAGGTACAGATTTTGGCATGGACTGGGGAAAGGTATACGCATTGCCGTTCCAAGCTACAGCGTCGACCAGGCTGCAGAGTTTGCAATATAGAATAACGCACCGTTACTTTCCAACTAGAAGATTTTTGTTTATTCGTGGTGTAACCGAGGATCCATTTTGTGATCATTGCGGTGAAGTCGAAACATTGTCCCACCTATTCTACACCTGCTCGGCAGTCCAACCATTTTGGAGCGCGTTATTGGAAGTAGTTAACCGTAAAGTAGGGAACGAAATTTTCACCGAGAGAGACATCCTGTTCGGTGGAACGAGATTCAGGGCAGTCGTGAATTTAATATTGCTTGTCGCGAAACAGTTCATAGTATACTGCCGCCATGGAGAATGTGCACCCAATCTACGGGCGTTCCGGCCATCATTACTTAAGTCTTTTCATATGGAGAAGGTTATTGCCATTAAAATTGGAAAACTGGATGAATTCAGAGAAAGGTGGGCGCCGTTTCTACAAGACGATGCCTTATGTTTGTAGTGTGCCACTGTCCGTGATTCGTGTGCGCTGAATTCCGTGCCTGTAATAATCGTGTATAAAAGAATAGAATAAAAAAAAAATGTCTGTCTCTGTCAGTAGTATCAGCACATGACCCACCTCACTTCCGACGTGGAACGTGGTCCAGCGGCGGTCATATCTCTGTCCGTTTGTCCGTCTTTGTGTCAGTCTGTATCAGTAGGCGATCCAGACGTGGACGGGACGGCCAATACGGCCGTGTCTCCGTCTTTCTGTGTCTGTCTGCCACTGAGTCAGTGTCTCTGTGTCTGTCTGTCCCTATCTGTATCGGTAGATGACTCACCTCAGTCCTGATGTAGACGGACCGGGTCGGCCAGCCGCGTCTGTCTGTGACCGCGTCCATGTGTCTGTCTCTCTGAGTATCTGTATCAGTAGATGACTCACCTCAGTCCTGATGTGGACGGACCGGGTCGGCCGGCCGCGTCGCTCTCAGTGCCGCCTCCGATGGTCCCCTGCTGCAGTGTGAGGACCTGGCCGGCCGGCAGCGCGGCCAGCTGCACCGTGCCGTCACTCAGCGGCTGGCCATCCAGCCGCAGGTCCTGCTGACACGGCGGCATGTCCGTCTGCGCCTGCAGCACGATCTTCAGCGTGGCTGCCGGGCAGGGAGCACAGCGGTCAGATGACGAGAGGGGTATCACGTGGAGGAGAGGGTCTACATAGCGGACACAGCGTCAAGTAAATAGCTGCTCTAAGTCTACACACTCGGTACTGTAGGGACTAGAAGGTGTCAATACACATGGCATTTAAGCTACCCTGATAACTAAAAGGCGTAATGATTAAAACAAAATGGTTGCATATAATTGTTTTAACTAACTTTGTAACTTAACTGACTTTGTTTTCGTTCGGAATGCGCCGTTCGGAATCGTGCAAACAGGGCACGCCATTCATTTCGACTAGTCCCGAGCCGCGCCCCTGCGTCCACTCACAGACGGTCTCCGAGGAGGGCAGTGTGATCTCCAGCATACGGCCATAGTACATAATTCTCAGCGGGGTCACCGGCTGCTCGGCCAGCGGGTCGCTAGGGTCGTCCCCGAACGCCACCGAGACGCCCACACTGACATCTGGCGGCTGGTTCAGCTCCTGAATCTGCACACCGTCGCCGACAGGTGGCACCACCTGCGAGTCCTGCGGTATCACTCGGTTCACAGCCTCCTGCGAAGAGAGAGGAAAAGAGGGAGAGAGTTCATAGCAGGCATCAGCGAGAGGAGAGGGAAAATGACGAAGGTGAGCAAGACAGTCAAACATGGACAGAATATTTACAAGCACCACCCATTCTAACCTTTTGAAGTCAGTAGCGGCAATAATAGGAAGCTGCATGGCAATAATAGGAAGCCCCATCAATTCAACATGCTAATGAGTGGAAAATTAATTCTACCACATCCATAATCTCTCCGCCATGAGTAATTTCTAGACTAAACTGTCATGCGTCTCTTGAGATAGTTTTATTCAGCTCTCTGTAAAGCCATCCCGAGGAGAACGACCGAGTGAGGCTGGCACATAAACCGGCCACTAAGCCAGCCCTCCTTTAGTCTGCAGCCAGTCATGTGAGGTTGGCTCTCAGAGTGTCCATGCCCGACGTCAACTCAGCTCCTCCCGTACCCAGCTTGACGTCACTCGTCATCGTGAGGCGTCACTTACCACCAGGTTCCAGCCGGTCTGCTCCAAGTGGGCGAGCGCCTCGCCCACGTCATCGATACCAGTACAGGCCTGTGAAGTCACAAATTAAATGTCACCATTTGACACGCAGGTGTAATAGTGATGCAGGCAGCTATTGATACTGTCACATTGTGTTAAAGTGATTTGCGGCTGAAGGAATACAGACATTTAGACACATTGTCTTATTTTGCGATGTAACCGTGCCAGTACTTGCTGATGATAAGGCTGAGGTCGCACTGTTTACCCTTCAGTTTGCTATATTCTGCATGAAAGATGTGTGTGATCACTGATCTACAGTCCGTTCCATTTCAATTTTATAGCGCCCAACACCCCCGTCGCTTTACATCACGAGTCACCCGCGCTTCGCAGCGCATTTTATCGCATAGTTTCGCACAATGACCGGTTGCCATCCGAGGACACCCATCCCCCAACTCGACCCCCATTTCCTACCATGAATCTTGCATCGCCCCCGCTAAGTACCTAGTTTCCCGCACTATCGCGAGGGGACGCGGAAACGGCTACGATAAAGTACCGGAGAGAGGCACGCCAGCAGCGAGTGTAACCTCTGAACTCACGGCAGGGGGCCAAGAGGCCCACCGGTTGTGTAACAGTCTAGCAAATTAACTCATTTCGAAAGGGACTGATGGGAGAGTCTGAGAAACGAGGACAAACTTTCTTTTCACAAACTATCTCGATATCTACTTACTCCTCGGAAGACAAAGAATGGAACATGTTAATCGTCAGATTATCTTTGACATGAACATATAGAAATAGTCAATTTTAAATATTTCCGGAAATCATTATTAGTCGATTTTAAATATTTCCGGAGCTCATCATTGGCGATTCCCATAGCGCTGTGATGAAAATAATTACGAAACCATGCCTCGGAAAATTGGCACTCCACCCAGCAGCTCGACTGATTGGTGTAGCAGCTGATGAGTTATGTTCCTAAAGACATCCCATATTGATTCGAATCCTGACAGGCAAATATGTGTATCAAATGTAGGAACTGCAATGAGCAGAGTTTAACTGAAATTTAATTTCTTTGATTTCACTCGTCATATTGTTCAATGTTCACGAGCATCAAAAGGGGCCCCATGCTCACTAGATGCACTACAAGTCAAATATAGCATGGTGGATCCGAATTGCTGTCGGTAGAACTTACCTGAAAATTGGCCAGTAGTTCTTCCCTGTTGCAGTCCATGGTAGCTATCAAAGGCTGCAAAGCACAACACTGCAATCAATTGGGAGCTGAAAACTGACACAAGTTTCAGTGATCGTCAGTCCTCTTGTTTGCCACATATGTCCAAACATATAGCGTAAGCCGCCGGCGTGCGCCCTCGCTAGATACGACGGTATCGTATTTCGTTACCCACTCGGGCTTTATCTACCACTGCGCACCCTATACAGATAAGATAAATTGGTACAGAAAGTCAGATAGTTTAAACAAAAGTTTCATCAACATGACTGAAGGTCTGCATGGTGGTGGATAAAAATAATGTAAGGATATAGGTGTACAAAAATAAACTATAAAAACAAAGATAGAAGGGAACAAAAAGATTCCTATTTGTATTACCAGTAGCCCAGTAGTCACGAGATATCAATAACTTTTTGTGTTGGAAATCTAGCATACAATTACATGCATGTAATGTTTCAATCAATATTGATGGCACTATACTCTGTTCCGTTTCAAGTTTGCAGCCAAAGTGCCCTGCTGAAAACAGTGTGTGATTTCTGTGTATACAGCTGTTACATTTTAAGACGCAAATTCTTGAGCGGAGGAGCGATCTGCCGAAGAAACTCCAACTGCAAGCTTGATATGGAACAGACTATAGCAATCCAACTGATATCTTGGCCTTAGCTGCTGTAAAGGTAGTATTTTGTGTACTTTCAAACTTTCTATTATATGTAGTCTTCAGTGGATTGTAGTGTGTGCACTGTACAATGCAAACTGCATGCCAGATTTGCACAATGTTTGCTAATTCAACTCATGGTTACCTGTGCTAGCAATAAGTAGGTACTGGGAAATTATAACACTAATTTAGAATATATTTGCTAGGCTCAGATGTATCTCCCACACCACAGGCACAGACTACTCTTTACCAATGATATGACAGTATGACATATGATCCACGATAGTAGTCTAAGACTGCATACCTAGGTCAGCTTTCAAACAATAATATTGGGTTAGGTAGCTGCTTGAGGCTACCCAGAGCATTGAGTTGCATAAATGAATTATTTGTGGAATCATTATGATGGATACAGGAAAAAGATGCAATAAAAAGAATCACAATTTGTAAAGCAGGAGCCTGTCATCAGCCTTAGTCCATCAGGTTGACTTGTTGAAATGAAATTATAGCAATAAGAAATCCATCTAAATGAGCATTGTGTAATTGCTGTTTTTACGGCCACAGTGATGGAAAAGTATATTTTGTGTTGATGCTAACTTGTTCAGGATTGAGGAAGACAAATAAGAACTGAATAAATATATAAGTAAACTCTTAAGGTTAGCTAGCCTGCAGGCCCCAGCTATCTGTCAATTACTCATGTCCTAGAGCTATCTGTCCCACCCACAGCTATCTGTCAATTACTAACGTCCTGCAGCTATCTGTCTGCTGTCAACTGCTCATGTCCTGCAGCTATCTGTCAATTACTCATGTCCTGTAGCCATCTTTAATTACTCATATCCTGCAGCCATCTGTCAAAAGCTGCTCATGTCCTGCAGCCATCTGTCAATTACTCATTTCCCAGGCACTTGGCAACTAGGATATAATTAAGTGTGAGACCAGGATTTCTTTAGAAAAATGTAAGGTACTCATTATTTGAATCAATGCATCTAGACAGATAAGCTAAATAGCACTTAATTCATATTGTAAGATGAAAGGCAGGTGGGCTACACATTGTTACCTACATCACTTCTTCTCTCTGTGTCACTAACATCTAATCAACAACATTGATATCAAGCACAGATCTTTAAGTAAAAAAAAAAAAAACATGCAAAAAGTATGAAAAATACAAAAGTACATCACAAACACATGGAAAAAGAATCACTTTACAGGTGCAGACCAGGGCTTTTAAGGGGACTGGGGCTACCTCCAGCCATTTATTAACACAAAAAAAACTCTTCTCCCTGTGCTCAACTTCCAGCAAGAAAAACCTTGAAATGTTAACAAGGCTATGAGAAACAAATCTACGTGAGCACAGGAGAAACATTACCGTGGCCCTGATTTGTGGTGCTAGCCACAACTGGCGTGTTTCCGTTTCGCCAGCTTAAGTCATAAGTTGTGGTCATGTAGGTATATGTCATGTGACTTGGGCCCAACCACAACTTTTCATTAGCTTTACAACAGCAGCAACACGACTGAACTGATGATGTCGCTCAATGAAGATGAAGGTGCCCAAATTTACCTCAAATATCACTGGAAATCAAAATTGTCAACCACCCTAGCAGTACCAGTGGCCAGCAGTGTGCAGTGAAACAGGGCCCTTGAGCCCCTTTAAATAAAATAAATTGGATGGTGCTAGTTCCAATAATTGTCACTTTTAAAAAGAAGTGATTTCCATATAAATTAATAAAAGTATAAGTTTCAATTGTAATTTAGGTGGGATGGCACCTACCGGTAAATATTTACTTTAGGTCCGCAATATTATTTTAACAAGAAAAAATGCACATTCTTACACTATTTGATGTCCTGAATTCAGATATGATGCTTAAATGCATCAAAAATGTAAAATAAGATACTAAAACCCCAGCACATTACACCGCACTGCTGCACAATACACACTGAAGAAAGCACGCTTCCACGACAAAAACGAAACATACAACGCTGCCCTATAAAAGAAAAAAAATGATGCGAATATTCATTAGTTTTCGACGTTATGAAAATGACGTCATAATACCAAAGCACAAGAAAAACGGTGAATAAAAAAGAGAAAATATTTAGCAAAGGTAATAGAGCATGAGAAAATGATCAGAACATAACCAAACCTTACCTAACCTGACCTACTGATGTTTGCCTACTGGGGGAAAAGGAAAAAGTGACTTGCATGAATAGATTGCAAGCAATGGTAAGTCAAATATTTTTAGGTTAAGTGGTTATGCATCAGGCTTCAGGCCTTCGGCCTGAAGCCAGATACACAACCACTTAACCTAAAAATATTTGACTTACCATTGCCTGTAATCTCTCCTAAGGCATTGCCTTCGGCACTGCACCGCTCCGCCTCGATTATTTTGACGTCACTTTCCTTACAATTTATTATCATCCGTAATTTCGCTCAACCTTGGTTGGACCATTTGTAGCGGGTGCGCCGCGCAGACACGTGCAGTTCCCGTCGGAGGTGGGGCCGTTGGTGGTGATACTGGTGATACTAGTGTACTGGTGCTTTTAAATTGGTTTCTAGAAGGAATAAGTATCAGAAATGAAATCAGGAGGTCTTAGAGTATCGTGTGAATGACTTTTAATTACCCCTCTGTTTTGCAGACCTAAAGTAAATAAATACCCACCTACCTACCTTGGTAATGAAGTTTAAATTTAATTTAAGTTGGACTTGTATGGAGATTATTAAAATGTGGATTATTCCATCCAATTCTCCAAGGATGAGTTGCACTAAGGTAAAAATCAACTTCGTTTTAAATCTTCGATAAAATCGGCACTAGTTGTAACTTGCTTGAACAAGGACAGTCTCAATGTTCCCAGTCTGAGTCACCATAAGGATATGAACAGTATGAGAAGCTACATGAGAGCAAGAAGAGCTATTATCAGCAAACGTGCTTTATTTTCTGACAAAGGCCGAGCCGTGACCAAACAAAGGATTATGGCCAACTATCCCCATTGCCCACCTCCTCCTCAACACTGCACGCGCACTGCAAAACATTTCCTAAACGCGCCGCATTAATCACGTAAGCAGAGGAGCAAAGTAACGCATGTGAAAATTTGTGCTACCAAATCACTTCACGGAGAGGGATTTTTAAAGACAGTATGCTTATTTCATAAAGAAAATGTCACTTATCATGCAACAGGTATAAAATGTGGCATAAAATAATATTTGATACACGATATTTTTGTAAAAATGAGCAACCCACCTTTTTTTATTTTTAGGTGTTGAATAATATTTCTCTGAGTAGTAAAGAATCTTGGTATTTCTGATATGGTAGCTCAGAACTTGAACTGCAGTGATTTAATATTATTTTATCTAAATACGGATTTTTGCTATATTTTGCGTGATTGATGACTGCAGCCCAGAATCTGCGTAACATATTATATGTTGAATGGTTCTGATGAAAAATAAAGCTTGTGGAAGAAGTAGGTTTTAAACAAAAAAAACTGTCAGCTTTAGCAGTGAATTAGTAGAGAGAAAAGATTACCTTTTGTAACGAGCGTGCGGCAAAATAACGAAAAAAGGAAGTTAAACATCAATTTACCGGTAAGTTTCACTGTCATTTATGTGTCTTAACGTAAATTCATGGGTTTTTTCCCATATTCATGGCATAGTACATGGATATGGGTTTTCCCATGTTGTCTTGCTGTAAAAGTGGCCACCGGTCTTAGTTAGGACGGCCGGTTTGTTTTGCGCGGCGTAGTTAGGTCGCCGCCCTCCTCGCGAGGCCGGTAACGTAAGTTAGGGCCACTAAAAAAAAAAAAAAAAAAAAAAAAAAAAAAAAAAAAAAAGCGGCCACTAAAAAATAAACTATGAAAAAAAAATCATTTGTATGCGCGCGCAGTGTATATAAATTTGTATCATTTACATTTACTGACTAGTGACTAGTGACTATTATCATTTGCAATTCAAATTCGATGCAGCAAGAGAGGTATTTGAATCGGATTTGTTATACATCTCAATCTGAAAATGATTATATGGTTACAGGTTAAATAAATTGATCATAAATGTTCAAATCTGCATTCTGCATCTTTTCTGCAATCTGCAATCTGCAATCTGCATGATTTAATATTTTCTGTTCTGGGTGAATTCAAAATCGATATATTTAACGGCATCCAGGGTGTTTTTTGCTTTAATTGACACTTGGTTGCAGCAGTTTAATTTAGATAACTGAAGGTCAAGAAAAATCTGGAAATGTGCTGCAATTGAATTGGGGCCCTGTTTCACCCGTGATAGCAGCACGCTGCTTTTACACCTTACCTTACCTTACCTTACCTTAGTTGGTCATCGGGTTATAAGGCCACTCGGCCTATGGGTCCCGCTCGTATCGAGTGAAAGGCATAATCGGAGAGGCTATGGTCCTTAGTACGGGGTAGGGATGTCGAACATCACGCTCGACCAGTGCCGGTCCAGCCGCGCCTTGAAAGACGACAGCGACTCAGCAGCGACAACGTCTGTTGGCAGGGCGTTCCAATCGTTGATGATTCTGACGCTGAACGCGTTCCTGCGAGAAAGATGCTTGGCGTTTGGTTTCCTCAGCTTCCACTGGTGGCCTCGCGTGTTTTGCGCTTCGTGTCTCGTCAGCAGTGACTCAAGCGGCACATCCAGAAGTCCGTGGAAGAGCTGGTACACGGTCACCATATCTCCACGACGACGGCGGTAGTGCAGCGATGGGAGGCCGAGGCGGCGAAGCCTGTCAGGGTACGGCAGGTCTCTGAGGTCCGTGTCAACACGTGTCAAATTGGGTTTCCATGGAAACATCAACAGGCCCATTGCTCCAACACTACCACAAGTGTGACGTCAGCTCGCGCAATTTGATAGCAGCGTGGTAGCAGCGTCCCGTGAAACACCGCCTGGATGGATGTTGTTGCGGCCGCCAAACACGGCTGACGGGTTGTTAGTTTGTTGTGTTTTTTGCTCGCGTCTTAATACACTTGCATGGAGTCCTCCAAGAGTGTCAGGTGCGCCTCACAGGTGGCGAGCAAAACAGATGTTTTCACTGTGCCTCAGGGCATTATGCCACCTGATGCTTCCATACATCGGTGTTCAGTCTCTATGGAAAAGCAAGCTAAAATGCTTTGCCTCAGTTCTGCGTACCATTTCCATGAAAACCGAGCACCAATACCTAGTAGCATCAGCCAGTGGCAGGCTGTTGAACAGGGCTGGGGCCCTGGTATCAGTCGGGCAAACTGCAGGGAGGCAATCTAAAATAAGATTAATCTAATTTCAGATTATGACGTCACGAAAATGGGCGGAGCGATGACCATATAAGGAGTGATAATCAATATTTAGATTATATTTCCGACATGTCCACATTCAAACCCTCCATATCGGTCGAAGAAATGCTCATATCGGTGAGATTTTTTGCTGAGGTACAGACGAAACTCGATTCTACATGCGAATGGACCGGCACATTTGAAATTGGACTTTGGGAGTTAGGACATGAATAGTCAAGGTCACCGAGGAATGGGCAAGTGCACTCATCTTGACCTACTGGTGATGACTCACTGACTGATGACAATACTGTGCAATGCTAACCAAACATCCTCTTTTTCAGGTGATTCTTACCTGGCTTGTTCAGTGGTCTTCAAGCTACTTAAGAAGTTTTGCATTCTTGATCATTAAATAGGTACCTGTCATACCATGAAGAGACTTAGAACAAGAATATCATTGCATGAAAGGTACAGGTAAGCTTTTATTCTTAAATCATACCATTTCAAAATAAGGTGTGATATTGCTATTGGCTGCACTAACATTCCGTATTCTAAGAAAATAAAAATTTCTTTTTTATTTGTCATGCATTTTACACCCCCTCTTGCTGGGCACCCCAAAGGCCACATAATGACAGGCAGCAAGATTCAGCACAGTTCAAAAGGGAGTAAAAAAGCGGCCAATCACAACAAAAGTTTCAATACCCTCGAGTTGATCAATTTTACACATACCCTGAAAATTTCATGACCCTGAACCAAAGGACCTTTGACCAGTCACCTATTTCTCGAGACCATGCTTGACCAGAATCGAGATTTGGCGTATGGCAGCTCACATTGTCACACACACACACACACACACACACACACACAATGTTTATTAGCAGAGACAGAAAGATTCCGGAAGAATGAGGCAGAGGGATGCAAAAGCGCAGAGCGCTTGAGTTTAAGCATCACTCTGAAAGAAAATGCAAACAAACGAAAAAAAAACTCCAGCCAGATGAGATTCTAAGCATGAGCTATAGAAAAACATTGACAGGCGTAACATAAAGCATACGAGTTGGCTGTCGCCGCCACGACAGACACCGAGCAGTAGAGCAGCGTGCGCGAGCCACAGCACGGTCAGCCCGGAGCGCCACGACCAACCGCGGCCTGATCCCCTAGGTCAATGTCGTACTGTTCAGTGAGCTGTAAATCGGTTCGATTTTAAAATGAATTTTTGAAAGAGATGTGCGACTACGCTGCCGCTCTCATCGTCCAGAGTCTAACCGTAAATCAGAATGTCAAGTTTTTGTTTTGGAGAAATTACATTGAACTCAATACCTAATTGATCGTATATTGTTTGAAACAAATCAAGCCTTAGTGGTTCAAATAATGGACAGTCTAGAATGTAATGCCGAACGTTCTCGCTTGGAAAGCCACAAGCACACACAGACGTTTCACTTTTTTGAATTTGGAAGAGATGGGAGTTAAGGCGACTCATTCCGGTTCTTAGTCTTGTGTGCAGAGTATTTCCTAATTTAGACCCAGTTATGTAAAATTTTGGAGGCTTGGTCACCCCCAGCCGCTCAGAAATCGTCTTTTTGAAGGATGTTCGTGTCAGGGATCGGATGGACTCAGGGAGATCATTCCAGTATTTAGCTGTCGATGGAAAAAATGAACTGTAGTAAGAAGTGGTGCGGCTAGGCGTCGTTGTGTGTGCACTGGCGTTTCTTAAGATTCGTCCGGTATTTTCAGCGCGTGTGTGCGGCATTATCATTTTTATATAGTGTGGTATATGCTCGTCGTGACCGTTAAATGTGTGATAAAGTGTTATTTTATGCATGCGTCTTCTTGTCGATAGTCTATCCCACCCTAAGTCGAGTAAAAGCTTGTCCGTTGGTGTCCTAAATAAGGTTGCTGTCACAAGTCTTGCCGCTCTGTTTTGTAGTCTCTCGAGTCGCATGGCGTCGTGTGTCGTGATATGTCCGTCGTATACTGTGTCGCAATAGTCGAAGTGTGGTCTGATATATGTCTTATAAATTTGGTCGAGAATGGGCCTGGGTACGTATTGTGCAATTGGATATAGTGGGCTTAATGCTTTGTTGACCTTTTTGCAAATTTTGTTGATGTGATGGTGAAAATGTAGGTCATTGGAGAATGTCAATCCCAGGTGGGTGTGATTTTCATGAATGGGTATGGGATTCCCACCAAATGTGAGACGTGGTGTTATGAAATTATTTTTACGTGAAAATGTTTGCTGGACTGTTTTTGTTGTGTTGAATGTGATTGCCCATTCTCGACCATATTCATATATTTTGTTAAGGTCGCGTTGAAGTGAAAGTTCTACATCGTGAATGTCTGTCGTTGAGTGCGGTGCGTGAAGAGATGTGTCGTCTGCAAAGAGTAGAATGTCATTGTCAATGTTTTGTTGAAGTCCGTCAAGATACATTAAGGCTAAGAGGGGTCCGAGTACAGAACCTTGAGGACAGCCAGCATTAACAATTTGTTGGTTCGAAAAGGTGTTATTTATTTGTACTCGTTGTCGTCTGTCACTTAGGTAGGAAGTCAACCAATTTAACAGTGAGTCAGTTATGCCAAAGTCGTGTTTGCATTTGTGTAATAGTCCTTGATGCCAGATCTTGTCGAAATATTTTGATATGTCCAGATAAATTACTGTGAAGTCATGTCCTGAGTCGAGTGATTTGTGCATGTTATGGGTCAAATAAAGTAACTGTTGTTCTGTGCTATGCTTTCTCCGGTATCCACTCTGTTTGTCAGTCAATAAGGAATGTTCTGTTAAATGATCATAAATGCGTTTGTGGACAATTTTTTCAAAAACTTTTGAGAGTGAAGATAAAAGACTGATGGGTCGGTAGCAGGTATAATCAGATGGTGATCCATTATTTTTATATATAGGTTTTACATTAGCCTGTTTAAACGTTGAAGGATAAATTCCAGAAGCGAGAGACTTGTTAAACAATTTCGAAAGTGGGCCTGCTATGATGAGTGCAGATAGTTTTAATATTCTTACTGGCATTTTGTCCGGGCCCGTGGATTTATTAGAGTCAAGGGAGTTTAAGATTCGTAGGACTTCTCTCTCAGTTGTCTCAATTGTACCGAGGGTAGGAATCGGCGTGTGTCCGTGTGTCCGTGTGTTTCCAGTCTTTTTGTGGTTTCAAACGTTCAAACATGTGAAGTGATGTTGGTCCCATGCATTATGTTGAGTGTCAGGTTCACGTGAAGGTCAGGTAAGCTCATTTACCTTTGATGACCTTGGTTCACTTTTTTGAGTTTTACATGTTCCCATGCGATTCTAGTTTTTGGAGTTGATTTCGAATTTACCAACCATTTGAACATTTACGAATTAGTTTTGGTGCCCTCGTAACATGTTACGAAGCTGTCAGTGGCGGTTGGCACATACCCGACAGGACTCCTAAGTCCTAGGCAGGGCTGCGGAGTCGGAGTCGGAGTCGGAGTCGGTCGGAGTGGACAGTTATGACCGGAGTTGGAGTCGGAGTCGGAGTCGGAGTCGATTTTAGAAACCCAAGCCGGAGTCGGAGTCGGAGTCACCGAAAATCTGTCGACTCCGCAGCCCTGCTAGGTCTGCGGAGTCGGAGTCAGGAGTTGGAGTCGGTCGGAGACGACAATTCTGCCGGGGTCGGAGTCGGAGTCGGAGCTGGTTTTTGAAAGCCGGAGTCGGAGTCGGAGTCGCCGAAAATCCATCGACTCCGCAGCCCTGGTCCTAGGTGCTGGTTGACCTGGCCTGACCTGGCCCGTCCTGGTCTAAATGCACAAAGACATCAGCTGTGATCAAAACTAACACGAAATTCGTGATCAGCACCCCGAAAACCCCATAGCAGCCTCACTTAACGATGTTTTAACAGGTCCCGATTTTCCCGACTTTTCGGTCATTGACCTGACCTGGAAGGTCAGCCAAGGACCCAGGACCTTAAAGTTGGGTATCTTCGGCTTCCTTTCGTCATGGGCAGCACGCTCATTTTTTCCGCTTAGCTCTAGCTCGATCAGGCCCCTGTACCCACATCCTGTATAGTGTACAGGGTGTCCCATAAGTTCGTTCTCACCTAAATTTTACGCTTTTAGGCTCTCTTGCTTAACGGCACGCTGAAATTGGTTCGTTACTGGGCTTACGTGGTTGCCATGGCTGGTAGAAATATGCTCCACAGTAACTAATTTCTGTAGACAAAATAGTTTTTGCTAGAGAGCCCGTTTCCTAAACAGACGGCTAACGCCGCAACATAGAGGTCTCCAATACGGGTACGTCTCGGTATTTAGTCAGCACGTGACCATTCGCGACGATTGAAGGTGATTGAGGCCTACCAGTCTGTAGACGATGTCCATCGCTAACTGGACGCACAGTCAGCAAGTGACACCGATGATTTGTCGGGAGTCAATCATTGCAAGTTTATCCTCTTTTTTGTCAGCTCTCAGGAGTGAGCCATGTGGCCAAAACTGTGTGGCGCCAAAGTGGCCATCAAAAAGGTCAAAGGGTTAGAAAGTTGGTAAGCAGACTTTTCAGGATGGATTACCAGCTGTCTAAGAGTGTTCTTTCGGGGTACATAACTCAATGTGACTTAAGCTTTGCTTACCGGAGGGCTCAAAACAGTCAAAAACGTCTTAAAATGGCCAAACATGAGTTTCGTGATGCCTGAGGCTAAAAAAACTAAAGGGCTGAGGACATCAACCAGGTCATCTGGACTAACTAGTCCACGTTCGAGATGAAACACCCGTCCAAACCCGAAAACAACCCCATAAGGGCGAAGGAGGAGGCCTCCGTTTCGTCCCGTTATGTTCCTATGCGAAAGGCCAAGGTCACGGTATTGTGGGGTTATAGGCGTCCAGACGCTGACCAGGTTGCGATTGGTGTCCCATAAACAGCTTTGGGAAGCATAATGCTTTTCTAAGAACATCTGGGAGGAGTTTCAACCCTCAAGCTGAGCTCGAACCGCGAGTATGAACACATTTATAGAGGAGAAAATGGCATCCGAGAGGTCGTAGGCCCATCTTCAGGCAAGACAGTGCATCAGTGCACAGGTCAAGCAAAGCTTAAAAGCGGTGCAAGGAGACTGTGACAGGCGTTTGTGGCAAGACCACATGCCAGGCACCTCATCGGATCAAAATTTCATAAAAATTTGTTGGTTATGCTGAAAATTAGGCTCGTCAAAGCGTAGCGCTGTTCCAGCCTCGAGGAGCTCACGACGCATGTCAAGTCAGTCTGGATTAACTTTAAGCCTGCTATGCAGCCAAACATGCCGGTTGGCATGCCGCAGCATGTGTTCATGTGTTTGCCTATTAAATGGGGAGCACATTGAGGGGTCACAAATATATCAAGACGCAATGTACTCTGTTTCACATGCAAATATAATGTGAGAACGAACTTATGGGACACCCTGTACATTCGCGGCTGGCAAAATACCAATACGGGCGAGGGCCGAGGGTTAACACGCCTTTTGTGTGGTACCACTAGGGTATTGTTGATTTATTTGTGCCATGTTAAAGGAAGATGCTGAATCAGCCTGACGCCTGTTATTGTTGGTTTCAGGCGGATCCGTGCTGGAATGGCATTGGTTCCTTATGCGGTGCAGACCCTCTGTGGTAACATCTATATCAACAGAGATTATGTTTTTGACACACTGATGGAGCCACTCTTTTGGCTTGTGGACAACTTCGCAAAAGCCATTGGACCAGTGAGTAACCTCTCGTAGAACTTCGGCCGGCTCCTCGGCCGGCTCCTACCCAGGAGATGGCAGTAACTGGGAAGTGTTCGCTCGGTCGTGGGGATTAACGCTGTGCCAGCCAGCGCCCCCGGCCGCAGGTACACGGGCCTGATCCGCCTTTAAACAGATCCTTCGGTCCGGTGACATGTCCCGAGGGCACGGCCTCGCTTCATGTCCCGGAGCAGCCCTCTGACCTGCCGGGCCCGAGAAATCGGGATAGCCCCAGCGTGCGCACCAGTGCGGTGCCACCTGGGGTGCGTGACAGGAAGCGTGCGGTCAAGGCTGTCCCGCGTAGCGGGTGCCGAAAACGATTCGTACCACTGCCGTGTATATAGTGTACTAACCCAGCATGAATGCGAGCTACTAACGACAAAAAGCCCGGGTCGGGCACCAAAAATATTAAAAAAAAAAAAAAAACCTCTCGTAGAACTTTCTATGCATAATGGTGGTAAGCTGAGTATCAAACTGCACAGACTGTTCTCGAAATTCACACCGCGGTTTGAGATATTTACCAAAGTTTTCCGTTTCACACCGTATCATTTTCCGGCGATACATCATCAGGCAAGTAAATGCGCACAAAACCACTTTGCATTGTAGTTTGTTATATGCTAGATACGTATCTGCTCTACACATATATTTCTGGTAACGATCTTTATTATCTGTGGCTCTTGAGTGCTCTTAAAACCTCCCCTTCCTTGTGACTGAAATATCGGTTTATTTTTCTCCCGTCTTCTGATGGCTCCCTCTAACCGTGACTGTCCGCGCGTGCCCAGATTTTCGTGTGCGCCGTGGTGGTGCTCACCAGTCTGTTTGTGTACATCGCCTACACCATCGGCATCCCGTACTGGTGGGAGCGCAGTCCGGCCGCGCTGGTGGTGCTCTTCATCGTCGGACACTGGATCCTCGCTAACGTGGTGTTCCACTACTACTACGCCTTCACCACCTCGCCGGGACACCCGCCGCAGGTAGCCACTTTGTGGTCGTGAGGTTGACTTGGGAGGGCGGGGCTTCGGCGTCCGTGACTGCTGCGTCCTGATGGCAGTGTTTTACATCGATTGATACCAGCTGAAGTCTGTTGGCTCGCTACGATGTTAAATTTTTATAATGGTCTAGCGTATATTATCGTGTAGTATTTACCAAACCTTACTGTTCCTTACGCGCTCATAATGTGCTTTATTTTCAGTTTTCAGCCGATAATCGTTGCCTCGCCAGTCGCCATAACTATCTCTGTATGTATTCTGTTATGTATGTCGATCTCACATCATTGCTGTCTTCCGTGGCTGAATCCGATTTCTCCTGGCCTGGCAGGGTGGTCTGATCCCAGAGACGGCCAGTATCTGCCGCAGATGTATCGCGCCCAAGCCTCCGCGCACTCACCACTGTTCCGTGTGCAACAAGTGCGTCCTCAAGATGGACCATCACTGTCGTATCCTTTCCAGCGACAAACGGAGCGTGCTCGTGACTTGATGGTGCTCTATGTGGTTGTTCTTTTGGCTGCGTGTAGTTGTATTATATAGGACCGTTGCTTTTCCCCGGTAATTAGCTACAGTAAATGTCAATAACTATCAAACATTCCTTGGGACGTAAATCTACTCAATAGGTATTGATCACGAGCCTAAGCGTTGATTGAATGTTGCATCCACTTCCTTGACGGCACCGACACAGCGTGGCTGAACCAGTGTGTGGGCCACTACAACCACCGCTTCTTCTACATGTACATGGTGTACATGGTGCTCGGCACCGTGTTCGTCATGGCGTTCGGCCACGACATCCTACTGACGGAGTACTACAGGGAGAGAACGGAGCTGGGGCTGGACCTCCGGCCGGGAGATAACGTCACCACCGAGGTCGGTTCCCCAGCCGCCAGCGCCGCTGAAACCATGGGACTCTGAATGTTAGCGCTGACTTATTATCATTCAATGCATAGTACTTTTTTATAAATTTAGTCCGAACCTTTTGTTTGGAAGGAGATTCACAAGGACATAGCCCCCGCTAAGCGAAGCTTGTTGCATGGACCCTGACCTCTTTCCTCCGATCGCGCAATTCCAGTTCTATGGCAGAATTCAAAGCTTAACGTGCGCACATAGCCGCGTACGGCCGGTCACCTCACTGACTTCGCCTGGTTAAGGAATGCCACCAAGCGCAACCATACCTGTCAGGAGGCTCATAAATGTCGAGCGCTCGTGGTGCTTCGAACCCGTACTGTTATAACCGGGAATGCGTGCTCTCACCACGCGAAGTCCAACGCTCTACCGACTGAGCTACGCGACGGGCGTTTTTGGAGTATCAGATCTCAATGAACTTGTACCGATCGCTGTGAAGAATACTTGTTAGTATGAATTGTCTATTACTTAGTGTGAATTGTCTATTACGTGTTTGCACTAATTTCCTGCTGATGGGTTTCAGGCGTCATCTTACGGCAATGTTGCTCCGACAGTGACAAGGAACGTCACATCAACATTACCTGGTGGACGGAGGCGGAGGTTCTTCATACTGTTCGAGTCTCTAGTATCGTTAGGTGAGCTACTACATCGTTAGAGTTATTTTGCGATAAAGGCTTCGTGATTATCAACCTTTTTAGGGAAAAGTCATTCCGGTATATCCCTCTTTAAGGCCGCTTGTCACAACCATCAGATTCCGCTTGTCTTTTGGGCATGCGATGAACTTGTGCCTGAAACAGTTGAGCAAGAAGAAAACTGACTTCGTATTATCTATTTTACTCTTTCAGGCATATTTCTGGCTCTGGGTGGCCTTTCCGTGTGGCACGGGAAGCTGATAACTCGAGGAGAGACCAGTATCGAAGCGCACATTAACGCGAAGGAGACCAAGAGGCTTCTGAAGCTCAATAAGGTGATGCCCATTTTCTTGCCGCTCCTTGCGCGAAGTCGGTGACCGCTAAGTTTGTTAGTTAGGTATATCCAGGAATGTTATGGGTTGTGGCTGCGTTCTGTGGTTCCAGCAGCATACCGTAAACTCTGGCTGAAATGGCTACGTGTGCGGAGTGACGTTTTTTTACGGTTCTTGAATGCTTTTGACATTAGCATTGTGTAATACGCTTTCTTGTCCGGCAGATTTATAGAAATCCATACAATGCAAATCCGAAGGAAAATTGGCGAATTTTCCTCGGACTGCACTCTGGAAGGTAATGTACCATGTGATGGCCACTCATTCAGTTATTCAGAATCGTGGTCAACTGTTCAAACCGTGATTTCGTTCATAGATCCCAAAATGATTTCAATCAGTTATACGTCTCCAATACGTTCTAATTCAATCGCATGTGAACCAGTACCGAGACGGTAACCGTGGTTCGCCTGGCTGACCCCGCAGAGGCTGGCGACACATACTGTTACCCTCTGCCCACCTACCGGACGGAGACGGTCTAACCTGGAGGATACCGCCCACACGACCGCACGTGAAGATCCTCTGATGGGACGGCCGGGGCCGAAGGACAAGGTGGCCAGACGTGATATTCAAACTGCCAGACGCACAAACGCGCTGTTTGTGCTGGTGATCAATTAGTGTATTATTTTCATAGCATTTTCATGAGAGGCGAAGTCTATTTGATACGTATTTCCCTATTTAGAGCGTTTATTGTGTTGTGATGATGTGATGAGGCTGAGGGCATCCAGAAGACACCGTCTTTACAACTGAATGCAGCAATGATTTCCGATTATTTTGTTTAGAGTGTCGTGATATTATTTATTACATATCTACTTTTTTGCGTATTTATGTGCATTCCATGCAATACAACCATGTGTTTTGATCATTGATGATTTATCATTGATTGATCATTTTGATCATTGATCATTGCTGATCATTTTGATCATTTGGTCTTTTGATCGTTTACGTAACGTCATGACCATGGCAGTCGAATTCAGTGGCATTTAGAGGGTCATTTAGATCATCAATAGGTAGATTGGTTACAGAGTTAGTCGTTGGCTGAATGACAGCAAATGCGGCGACGGGTGACAACACCATTCTGTAGGTACGATGACAGGCGTGAAGCTGCGTTAGTTGGAGCAGACTGACAGTTTTTAGAAACTTCAGCTGATGAAGCACCGTGCATTAAACTAGCTCAATAACTTGAAGAGCCCGAAATGTGGACACTGATAAGCAAAATGCTAAAATATTCTAATAAAACTCGCATCAAGGCCGTAAGAACCTAACTCGCAAGGCTTTGCTGTCTTCAGGCTAGGGTCTAAATTTTTGGGGCAGCCTCTTTGTACTTAGTGGTCGTTCTTCATCACACTCGCGTGGCTATGGTAAGCATACTTATATTATAGTTACCCTTACATTGAACTACCTTTACTTCAGCGTCGTAGTTTGTGAGAAGTGGAAAGAACTTTATTGGTGGAAAGATGAAAATTTGTCATGCCGCGGGAAATAGTCGGTCTCCAGATATAGTGCTGAAGTAGGTTGTTCGTAGACGTTTTCACATTTTGCTTTCGTGGCGGCATATTTACGTCTGGACAACGAGTTGCGTTGGAGAGGCCGGAAATAGTGGCGATTTCAGGACCGCAAGATTGGACCGTCATTGGAATGATTCTTTTTTAAACCGTGCACTGTTTTCGGCCGGAATTTAATAGTTACTACAAAATATTTTGTAATTACGTTTCCACCAAGAATGAATGCCATCAGGGCTAAATTTTTAATACTATTGCATTTTGTCAAGATGCATATAGTGCTGTTATATTGCAGTTTTAGCGCGTTTGTTACAAAATATGAAGCGAATAACCGTCAGTGTAATTCATCAACAGTGCAATGAGTTAACTTGAGGGAAAGCCATGCTGATTGCTCTTGTCCATCCACTAAAATTTATTAAATATTTTGCTTTGTGTATTCCAAAAGGAGAGGGAACTATTTCATTTGTGCCTTCATGTCAGAATTGAAGGTGGATCATTAAATTTTCAACGCAGTTTACAAGCAAGCATTTGGGCTTTCTCGTTTATAAGCAGTGCAGTGGCTAAGAAAAGGTTGATCAATCCTGAAGTTCAGTCATCGTACCTCAACTTGGCAGCAAGATCCCCCAAGGACAGAGGATATATTGTATACATGTCCTGTAAATAAAAAAAACAAGCATTTGGTCTTTCTCGTATAATAAGCAGTGGCTAAGAAAAGGTTGATCAATCCTGAAGTTCAGTCATCATCATACCTCAACTTGGCAGCAAGATCCCCCAAGGACAGAGGATATATTGTATACATGTCCTGTAAATCAAAACAAACAAGCATTTGGTCTTTCTCGTATAGTAAGCAGTGGCTAAGAAAAGGTTGATCAATCCTGAAGTTCAGTCATCATACCTCAACTTGGCAGCAAGATCCCCCAAGGACAGAGGATATATTGTAAACCTGTCCTGTTAATCAAAACATTTTTGTGCCTTCAAAGGCTTAAGTTATCTGTGGTGTGTTCGGAGTTAGGCTATATGGCCGTTTTTGTTGTATGTTTATGTGGAGATTGAATATAAGTGTGACCCTGTGCTTGTTTGTATACTTACGGTCAAACAGGGAACAGCACATTCACATAACATACTCACCTAGCACCTAACTCATAGCTGTACCCTGCAGGATCTGTACTTGTTCATGTCTCGAGCATTAACAAAGCACTAAAGTAGCTTAGTAATCATTTCCCACATTTTCTGAGCATCTAACATGACATACAGCAGTGCAGAGCAGCTTCAGAGAAGAAACATTTTAAATGCACAGACTCACACCAGCCACCCAATGAGCCAGTCCCTCAGTTGACTGTTTCCCTGGACACAGCCTGGCAATGTGAGCTAACTTTTGGCAAGTTGAAGGTTAGCAGGTAAGATTGAGTTAGGGTGAGTACCTACCTATAACTGGGTGCTACTGCCATGCAGGTCTTGGGTAGGCTGCAAATAGGTGTGATGATTAACATTGAGGTTAGGTCAGCTGTCAGGTTAGTCAGGTTCAGGTATGCTCATTGCTCAGGTCACATTTTTATGGACATTTGGCAAATTAAAAAACTAACAATCTTATCTAAGCTAACCCGACTAAATATACACAACTACTGACTAGGAACTGAGCACCTACCTGCTTGTGCCTACATCTCATACCATGTCAAAGTAGAGTTCCTTGGTGGAAGATTACCCTCAGTACTTTTTATCCCAGTCCTGTGAAGAAAACTAATACTTCTAAGCTCTGAGTCACTGCTGGCCATCCACAGGAAGAAACGCTGAGACTGAAAGCTTTGCCATTGTATATTGGACCAATAATGACTATCACGAATGACTATGAACACATAATATGATCACATCGTTGCATGGATTGTCACATTGACAATTTTACTACAATCCTTTTTTCAAAAAATACAGTGATGATGATTAACATCAAAATCAACATAAAGTGGATTTAGTGATCCAAACTTTCTCCTCCAGTAGCAATGGAATGATCGCATGTTTCATTTGCCAGACACTGAGTACCTGATGTACATTACAATCTGCAAAGCATCTAAGCATAGTAAAACTGCCCAAGTCCATTGATTCTAGATTTTAACTTGATAGTTAGCACTAATTTATCTTGCTGTTGTAAGTTATCATTCAATATTCATACATCAATATGCGCTCATCAGTCAACATTTCAAAGTCAACATTTCAGAAAATCAACATTTGATTTTCTGGCATGATCCTGCTCAGCGTGCTCTTCAGTATTGCTCCAAGGTCTGCAATATTATAGCTTGTTTTTAGACAATAAGCTCTTTTAATTTTACTTTTTCTTGCTGATATATGAGCCCGATCAACTTGCGTTTATCAACCAAAATTTCATAACTTGTTCAACTTGATATTGATATTGCTCAGTAGTCAAGAGTAAGACCTCTGTCAGCCTCCTGGATACTTCAGATCGTTTTCAGTCAACATGCTTCTTAAATATGATATAAGTCAATCTTAAGGGATTCAAAACATCCAACAAAACGACGTACAAGAGCAAGAAAACCACCAGATAAACTAAAAAATGGCCTTGGAACAGAGCCAAGTGGTGCTCCATTTGTTTGTTTACAATTATTGTAGTGCTGATGTATTTTTAGGACTCTGAACGTCGGCTTATAAAAAATGAAACGTTTTTCCAAAAGTTGTATGGCAAGTAATATTTATCTGAAAGAACTAAAATATTCAAAAGCCAAACACTATGAAATACATGAATCGGAACGAAAAAGTAACCCAAAAATCCAGCCTAATCACCGGCTCCTAAAACTGCAACAAAATCAGCACTTTTCCCCGCAACTCGTTGTCCAGACGTAAATATGCTTCGTGGCGAATCCTAGGCGAATCCGGCGAATCACACCAACCTTGAATTGGAATTTCAATTCAATCGAAGAAACTGAAATTTATATTGTTGAAATTTTAATTATATTGAAAAAATGTACTGAGTTGGAGTGTGAGGCTGTTAAATTGTATAACCTCTGAGCGGTTTTTGGTAATATTGTCTATTGATATGAAAGGCATCTTGATCTTGCTCTTTGATCGGTCTGGTCAGCATTCAGCTGGGGTTGGGGTAACTTTAAGAACTGTTTCAATATAAGTTTCAGTGTGAGTTATTATGCAGTTCTATGCAATTTAATTCAAATTTGAACATGCCTGTTGCAAAATGGTTTCATAATGAATAAGTCTAGCATATGAATTTTGCAAAAATAAGTAAATAAGTATATAAATAAGCTGTAAAATACATGTTCAGTTTTACTAACCCTGGATTCAGTCTCCTGCACGATGAATTATGAAAATTATGTTGTCTGGTTTAATGCCGTTCAAGGTCAGCAGGGGCTGGGCTGTGGTTATCGAACGGGATTGGCTGGACAATGTAGAATGCTCTTCATCTGAGGAGACTGTGAACACGCTCTGAAATTTGGTCGGAGAGGCGGACGTAACCTAGCGTTTTCATTTTATTATAATGTTAATGTATTTTCTGTTCTTTCAGATGATACCCTGATGTGTCAGACTCAGCCTCAGAAGATAAGGATAACTCACTTGTTGGCATAATGTCTGGCTCAAAAACTACCAAGATAGTGGCAGCATTGAGAAATTTGGTTATCAACTGGCCACCGCTGATACTATTTGTGGCGTGCCTTGTGATGTTCAGTGGTGTCACTCTGGTACTGGGTGCCTATGTGTATAACACTGAGGGCATTCCAGACCGGGATACTCTGGTAAGCACAATTTACTATATACATTTGAAAGCACGATTTTTGTGGGGCTTTTGTTGGAAAGGGGCTCCTACTATTCATGTTTGGTGCCCTAACTTGCCAGCATTTAATAAATTATAAAACACTGCTCCATAAGTAAACAGTTAACAGTCCATCACATAGGCCCAGTTCAGACCACTTACAACCTTTGTCAACAGTCATGGAACCAGTTCCTGAAGAGTATGGAGCACCACAGCCTGTGCAGGCACCATGTGCCGCCCTCAGCTGCCAATGCCACAGAGGATGCCGCCTCAGCCTCCATCCTGGTGACGGCCTCTGGCTGGTTTGACCAGCTCACTGAGCCCACCTCCAATGGCTCCCTGGAGCTCACTCTTGGTAAGTACTACTGTGTCATGTGTAACTGCTGCTAGTGGGTGGGGAAGTAAAAACTTTGCTAACTCTTTCCTCATTTGGCCTTAATGTGTCTTGTTAGTCACTGAATACATAGTGATAGTGATTATGCTATTTTGCCTCTTCATTGTACAGTTCCATGTGGTCCGGTTCTGTGGCCCCACTCTGACTTGTATACCATCTGTATCTGTCCTGCCCTCAAGACTGCCTTCAACTGCCTGCCCTTAGCAGACCCACAGTAGCCAGCTGCTCTAATTCATCCACTCCCGCCCGCAGAGGACCCCTCCTCGGCCGGTCTGAACGTGTCGCTGCGGCCGGTGTCGGCGGGCGGCTCCCAGCTGCTCTGTGTCCGGTTGCGGGGCTCGGCGGCACGGCTGCCCCACCCCGGCCACTCGCCGCCGCCCGCCTGTGACTCCGCCGCCCCTTCGGCCGCGCCGGCCGGCGTCGGCGCCGTGGAGCTGATCATGGACGGCGCCGCGCACTGCCCGGACGGCGGCGCGCGCTTCACCCTCGAGTACACACCGGCCACCGCCTGGGACATCACACTGTCCATGGTGAGGGGGATGGGGAGAATGTACACCACGGCACATATTCACACCACAGACTGTGGATTTCGGTGCTTGCTTTAAATCGTGTTAGTACAAGTAGTAGTGTTACTTGTTAGTATATTAGGTATTACTTTGACATTGACGTTTTTACATCAAATTATGTATAGTATCCAGTATTGGATCGATTGCCGATAGCGTCACACCATCGGGTCATCCCAGGCGAATGGTGTATTTGGCCGTTGAACCACCGGACGTTCGGTAGACATAATGAAAGAAATGAACTGGAGGCCAGCGTTGCGCCTTCAGCCGTGTGACCGATGCCAGTCCATCTGTCTCACTCGTGATCAGTGCGCTGCCTACTGGCCCTGCTGCTCTCCGCCGCCGCTGCGCTGTGCAGCCTCCTTCGCCTTCTTTTTCCTGTTAGCCTGGGCGAAAAACTGAGCGGCAAAATCCCTGACGTCCTCCGGCTGCCGGTCGACCACGCCGGCGATGAAGTCCGACACGACGGTGCGCAGCTCGCCGTGGCGCGCCAGATACGCCTCGTTCTCCCGGCGCAGCGTGGCCAGATGCTGCTGCAGGGCGGCCACCTGGTTCGGGTGCAGCGCGCCGTCGTCGTAGTTGTTCTCGGCCGCCACCGGCGCCTGGAAGTCGTTCTGGAGCGGCTGGGTCTGGCCGACATCCACGGGAGGAGGGAGGCCGGCAGTCGGCGCTGCTGGGCTGGCCCGCTCCGTCTCGGCGGTGGATCGGTCACTGGACATCGTCCGGCGTAGCAGCGCCCCGCTTTACTCTTCGTGGCTTCAGAAGATCACACGCGGTGCGGTGGTAAACGACCAATGGAACGGTAGATTATTTGTTTCTGAAGACCACACTCAGTCGACTCGAACTCCTTGCTCGAAGTAGTATCGGTAGTATCTATGACCGTGGCTCGAAGTCCTCGAATCCCATCGAATCCATCGAATCCTATGAGCGGAATCGGACTTGACGAGTCTCGAAAATTTGTACGATCTCGCAGATCTCGTGCTTTCTTACCAGCAACCCCCTAACGAACGCAAGTTGATTGCGCTGTGAGAGGATTTTGTATGCGAACGAGGAAGTGTGTTTGTATGTGAGATCTCAGTGGAATTTCACAGCCACCCTATTACCCAGTGGAAAGTACGCTTTGCTCTGTCACCGTAGTGTGCGTGGATGTCATTTTGTATTCGTATTTAGTCAACAATGTTTGATAGCTCAAATTGTACGGATGTCTGCCCGATGTCACCCTGCGTTTTTTGGACTGTAGATGACAGCACTGTGCCGTGTGTTCACTTCGTTGCAACACGCCCCTGTCAGGTGCCTTCCTAATCGGTAGGTACCGTTTGAGAGCACCCCTCTGACGCCTGTGGCCGTGTCTCCCCACAGGCGGACCGGCAGCGAGCGTACGCTCACCTGACGTGCACCAGCGCCTTTCTGGCCGTGATGGCGCTCTGTATGCTGACCTGTACACTGGTCAGGAACCGCTCACGCTACACGCTGGCCGCCGGCGACAAGGTGGGTTTCATTTAAGCTGTCACCTGCGCCGAACTAAGTCACTAAATCGATGGAGGTGCTCGGGATACGATCGAGAAAGTATTGGTGTTGGTGTAGTTAAAGTTGAACTGTGAACTTGCAGCAAGTCTGTATGCAGTATGGCTGATTTTTGACCCATTTATCCAGCCAGCGAATCGCCGCTATGCTCTCCCATAGCTCCGGTTTTGTGATTCTCACTTCATGTACTTAAAGGGACCCTCCCACCTTTAAAAAAGTTTATGAATTGGCATGAAAGTGATGTCGCTCGGTTCAGAAAGAGCGAAAACGAATATCTACCAAATTTCACCGAAAAATATTCACCGGTTTTCAAGATATTAGACTTTTACTTTTGTTTACTTTTTGGGATCTCCGCTGTTCCTAGCGACTTTATTTAAAAGTGCGGCATTTGTTGCGCGCAACGCAGCATATACCACCGCGTGCTACAAAACGTTTTAGTCAAACATTTAACGGACGTTCGAAAGCCTGATGACGTCATCAGATTTAAGTGCCTATACCAATACATTGTGGCACTTATTTGCACAGATGTCAAAATCAAACTCAAATTTCTTTGCGATGAAGTAATTGCTGGAGAAACGGTTTTCACGGCACTGATTTTCAAAGAACGTCCATCAAGATGGCTATCTCAACTCAAATCTAATGTTAAGGTGGGACAGTCCCTTTAATCCTGCCAATATTTATCGGGGACAACTACGGCGGGTTTCCTATATTCAGGTCAGGGTTTCGATGATTTGCAGACCGTCGTCTCGATGCTTCGTATTCCCCTGTATATTCCGTGCTGAATGCTGATCGGTGTTCGTCCTTTCAGGTACCCCTGTCAGACGGCTAGAGAAGGAGTGAATCCAACCCTCCCGACCGTGCCTTATTCCTCCTCGGCTGCTGTGAGCTCCGGAACGACTATTCGCGTCCGGACCAGTGCCTTGTCAGTTGTCGCGCAGTTGGACATTCCTGGCGCAGATCGGGTCAGAAGTCGCCGGGTCGTGTGATTCCGGGTCCGCTGGGCCGGCCCTGTGGTTGTGTGGCTGTGTGTGGTCATTATTTATTGTTACCGTCAGCTTTGTTAGAAAAGTTTGTTGTGCCGTGGGCGCCGTGAGGCTATTGGTGTGCATTAGGCGAGGGATTGAGGTAAGGGACTGAACAGGTGTCATGCAGGGGTGGTAAGGATGGTGGAAGGGAGACGTGTGTTTGAGCCTGTTATCCAGGGATCGTGTGAGATAGATAGGAGGATCAGAAGTCCACTGAGGCTATATTTTAGATGTGTGTTATTTGAAGGATCGGAGCCGACCAGCTGTTATGCTTTCTGTATCGGAGTCAACTCTTCGCCAAGGACTATATATCATTCACCATGTGTTATGCATGATTGTACTTAACGCTGCGAAAGGTGTCGCTTTTTCTGCAGCGCTACGGCTCCTGGCTATTCCCATTTCAATTCAAACGACTATCTCAAACTAGTATCAATAACCAATCATAGCTCCATTTACATACACTCGCTCGATTCCAGTGCATGTGCAGAAGTCGGCTCTCCCAAAATGACGGTGCCTTTGTCGTTAGTCATTCCTCCCGTCCATTGCGCCGTCCCTTCTCGAGTCGCGCACGGTCCCACCTTTGGTGTGTTTGGTGATATTGCACATTCCTGTCGGGTTTCGTTGGCTTACACTGGGGACCGGACTTGTGGCCTTGCGGGCAGGCTCGGAGATGGGTAGCGACCTCGCATGGCACTCTGGCTCGCGGGTGCTCATCTGGCGGTTGAGCCACGTAACTTTAGAGTGCGGCGTTTCCGATAAATGGAGACAAAAGACAAGTTGTGTCCGTATATCCAAGGAGTGAGACATTTTATGGTGATCTACCGGTACTTATTTGCTTAGCTTTCTTCGCTGTGGTCTTGCTTGAAACTTTTCCGTGAATGCACTGTGTGTCATATCGTTGCAAAGAATTCTGCCCTTTTTACTCTCTTCTATTCCGTGCTTCAGCGTTGTGTGATTTGGATCGCTGTCCCGTAGCCGTTTATTCTATCTCGCGCTCTGCAAACCTGCGGTCGGTGCTCGTTGACCTGTCATGGGTGTCACTGACCCCTGCCGTGGGTGTCGCTGTACCACCTGTTGCGGTCGCATTCGATCGTAGTCACCCGTGTGTCATTGTCAATATAGTGTGCCACGTCTTCGTCCCCTGTGTGACAGTGCAGCGCTCCAGGACGGTTACCTAAACCCAGCAGCACCGTGCATGCACATCAATTTTTGCTGATTGTTTCCGAGGTTCGTCGTATGCATCGTTAAGAGTCGTGCGTTGTCCGTGGCAACGTATTTGAAAGATTCAACTCACCCACCTCTATATGTTTGATCGAAATTTCAAAAAAAGGTTCTGCATCGTTGGCTCTTCCCTGCGTTCGCTTTGTCCCGGTTGGTCTTCATTTGCCTCAGTTTCGCTGTGTCAGGGTGACTCGACAAATGCGCAGCGTCCGGCCGGCTGGCTGGCTGGCTCCCTGGCAGCCGCTGTGTGCTCAGCCAGTCACGCCCATAGTCGGTGTACAGGTGCCCGTGATGTCACCCCACGCTACGTGTGCTTACGACTCACGATCTGGGAGAAAGCTGTGAGACCAAAGCCAATCAGGCTAAAACCATAGGAGAGAAGGGAAGGTGTTGGAGCGCCCAGTTAAGCATCGGTGAAAATCGGCAACAGTCAGACCTACTCCCACGGCACCTGACCAGAACGGGAGATGGATTGCAGAAACAAAATTAAGGCACAAAAGTGGGAAGATGCACACTTTCTCTTCCGGTCCTTCCATTCCGTATACTCTCAGTATGCAAACAGAAATTATCCCAAAACATTTATTGAGAAACCACAAAATACTGGATCTGTCAAATACCGCGCCATGTCACGAACAGCCTTCTCCCCAAAAAGTGGTAGTACATGAAAATCACAGAAGCAGCGGGGTAAGCAATCACCAAAAAGAATGCAGCTGAGGCATATCGATCTAAACCAGCTACATTACCATAACGCGCTAACCCTACCGAATAGGAAGAGACTACAAACATGTTGATAAATATTTAACAAGTAACAAGCATAAGTAAGTGATTTGTTCGATTTCGATAACACCCTTTGTTTCCCATTGCAAGTGCTCTAGAAGCTAATGTTGAGACAAAGCGCGCACCTTTGTTTTACGACACGTGTACGAAATGATAGATATTTGTAAGGCGGAACAGCGTCCCATAAGGAATGTTAGTGTGGGCTCGGCATGCCGCTACCACCAGACGACAGGCACTTCCATCACATTCTGATCATCCGATCACAGCGGGTCAGCCGTCCGTAGCACGCCATCGGTCAACGGTATATAGGGCCTTGCAGTCAACCGCGGGGAAGTCAAAATGTCGGTTTCACTACGAGAGGATCAACATCTGTGCACGATTGAACACAAAGGCACCGCCTGGGGTTGGACCGCAAACAGCTGTGCGGGCCACCAAATCACGTCAGCATAACGGTCACATCATGACAGCAGTGGCACGGTGCAGCTCCGCTCCGCAAGACCCTCAGGTCGCTATGTGGTCGATGTTGTTAGTCCCTTCTCCAGTGCTACCCGGATAGGAGCCTCTCTAAACTCAGAGTCCGGTGGCGGGCGGACACCACAGAACATCCATTGAACTAACAGTCCATCTTCTGGGTGATAACTGCTGCCCGGTTAGCACACTTTCTCTCGACTCGGCCTGGGGCCACTTCACTCCGCACACAGCTCCATATTATAGAAACTCACTGGAATGTACGAACGCGATTGTGGTACGATAAGTGTTTGTGGTACGATAAACACACCTCAATACATTTGCCAAAGCAGCATTTGTCGGAAAATATAACGCGTAAGCGTTTACCCATCGTTTCAAGACACATTCGTTGCACACGAGATCCATAGGTGGGCGTTCGTTCAGCTTCGCTTTCAAGACTTTGAAACATCATTAAATCAGTCGAGGAAAAGGTCACTCGCATTCGTATCACGAGATGAGCCCATGGTGACCGGATGAACACATGTAAAAGGAAAAGCAAAGTAGTCGCTCGCACACCTATGCAATAGGTACCTATACTGATTTGTCAAAAGAGACGATTCGACTTTCAATAAGGCCACAGGAATAATATGCACTATGCAGAAGCATAACATTAAGCACATGGATAAAACGAGGTTAGCCATAAGATAATGAGGTCGGCATTGAGGTGACGGACGGAGGTGGTGATGCCGAGTATTAAGCAAAGCAGCGAGGCATTTTCAAAAAAAAAAAAAACGATAAGCAAGCGGGATCACAAAGCGAAAAAAGTAACAGCATAATCCGGTTTGTTGGTACGTAGTTGATTCATGAATACTCACACCTTTCACCAGTGTTTGCATTAATTCTGGCATCGTGACGGAGTAGACGGAAAGCCAGCCGAAGATGAAGCCGCAACTCTCTGTCCAGGGACGAGAGTCGACCACACTCGGTTCAGATCTCTCCTCCCCTCTCGGTACTCCTGTCCACTGTCCTCAGTCATCCTTGGCGGCCGTGGCGGCGGTCGAGGGAGGTCGGAAGCGAGCCAACAGCATCAGGGGCACGATCATCACCACGGCGGCGGCGCAGTAGCAGACGGTGGCTCCCGTCAGCCAGAACACTGTGCTGAACAGCACGGGACCCAGCGCGCGCGCCAGCGCCCCCAGCGAGCGGAACACGCCCGTCACGGCGCCCTTCTGGTGCGCGCCGCCGTAACGCGCCGCGATCGTAGACAGACACGGCACGCACACGGCGGTGGACAGGGCGTACAGCGTGAACCCGGCGTACAACCCGAGCTGCGAGTACGACAACGCCACGGCCACGAACGAGGGCAGCAGGAGGCCGACGCCGACCAGTGCCGTGCGCTCCATGCGCTGCTCGGGAATCCGGCGCACGTAACCGCCCTGAACCACCGCCATCAGCGCGCCCATGTAGAGGAACATGTAGCCCTGCTGCATGGACGTGTAGGCGAAGCGCGTGTGGCAGTGGAAGGTAAGGGTGAACTCGACGCCGGAGAAGATGAACAGGTAGAGGAAGTAGACGAGGCCGATGTGCCGCAGCGCCGCCTGCTGTGTGGCGTCCGCGCAGCGCACCAGCCGGAACTTGAGCAGCGCCGCCGGGCTGATGTAGTCGAGCAGGGAGTCGTCGGTACCGGCACGCCGCCTCCGCCGCTCGGCCGGCAGGCTCTCCGGCAGCGCCAGGTAGACGAACAGCACGTTCAACGAGGAGAGGGCGATGGCCAGCATCGCCGGTGCCTGGTAGAGCGTCGCTCCGCCGCCGCCGCCGCGGCCGAACCCGGCCGCGAACGCCGCGCCCATGATCGGGCCGACGATGAAGCCGACCGAGAAGGCGACGCCGAGCCAGGCCATGCCGCGGCCGCGGGACTCCACGTCCGTCACGTCGGTCACGATCGCCGACGAGAGATTGACGTTGCCCTTGCTCAGTCCACCGGCCACGCGCGCCGCCACGAACACCAGGAAGCTGCTGGCGCGGTACCAGAGCACGTAGGACGCGGCGATGCCGACCAGCGAAAGCAGCAGCACCGGACGGCGGCCGTAGACGTCCGACAGGCGGCCGGAGACGGGCGCCGTCAGGAACTGCAGCAGAGAGAACAGGGAGCCCAGCAGGCCGCCCAGCAGCACGGGCGTGAACCGATCAGGTGCTCCGATGGCGGCGCCAAACTCACGTACGCGGCTCACCACCAGTGGGTAGGCACCACTTGTGTCGTGTGACTCGTAGTAGTCGAGCAGCGATGGCAGTAGAGGCAGGATCATGGTGAATGAGAGCAGGTCCAGCAGCAGCGAGACGAATACCACCCATATGTGGCGCCGGCTGTAGGCCTGCGGGCCACCATCTCCACCTCCATTTGAATCAGGCTTAGCCATTCCTATCCTGGAAAATATGTGAGAACAATCAATGCATGAAACATTTGACAGTGTGTTATTATATTCTAATTTCTAACAGCATTTAATATTTGCAAGAATTTCATACTTACTTACTTACTTACTTACTTACTTACTTACTTACTTACTTACTTACTTACTTGGGTACGGGGACCCGCAGTTGCTTCTGTACACGAACCCCAACTCTAGCCGTCCGTTCTGTCCAGAAACAACCGATAACATTGATATTGACTGCCGGTCCCTGTACAAGAGCAGCTGAGGTTTTCTGTGCGTGCCCTCTGACAGCTTATCGTTGTTCTCTGTGAGGGTGCTGGGACAATTTACTCAGGGTCGCTGTACAGTAGCAACTGCGGGTCCCCGTACTTACTTACTTACGAACTACGGAATATGGAGGCCAGAGAGGCCAGAGGCCTTTAGAAACCTTTCTAGTCGCGCTCCTCGTGCGTCTGACTAATGACTATTCGTCTGCATGAGGCATGTCGTGTGCAAGGTGTGCCCAGTGAGCGTCAAGCTGGTTTTTGAATTGGTTCAGGTGTCGGAGGCGACGACCGCTGGCGGTAGGCTGTTCCAGTCGTTGATGGCGCGGATGGAGAACGCGTTGCGCCGAATCCTGGAGTCCGCTCGCGGCTTAGCTAGTCTCCACTGGTGTCCTCTTTTAGCAGGAGTTCTGTCGGCTGCCATCTCGAAGAAGCTGCGAGGGTCCATGTCAACTGTCAAGTCCACCGCGGAGCAGCTGATAAGCCGTGATCATACCTCCACGCCTCCGTCTGTAGTACAGCGTTGGTAGCTGGCAGCTGCAGCACTTTCAGATGCCCTTGATACGGGGGGTGTCGAAGATCGGGAACCAGCTTGGTCGCCTGCCTTTGCACTCGCTCTACCAGCCGCTGGTCCGCCCGGTTGAAGGGACCCCACACGAGGTTCCCGTACTCAAGGTGGGGATGGACAAGGGCCTTGAGGAGCAAGGGGAGGGTTGATTTTTCAAGCAGGTGGAAGTACCAACGAATCAATGCCATCACTTGTGTTGCCTTCTTTACGGCCGCAGCAGCCTGCTTCCGGAATTTGAGCTGGGTATCCATGAGGACGCCAAAGTCTCTCTCGACCTCTGACTCCGCGACCGTTGTTCCCCCATCCGGTATGTGTGATGCTGGTTGCCTCCGCCGATGTGGAGCACCTTGCACTTTCCAGGGCTAAATGACAGCTGCCACCTGTCTGTCAAGTGAAGTGCTGCATTCAGGTCCTCCTGCAGGGATGCTGAGTCGGACAGAGAGCAGATAGGTCGGTAGAGTTTGCTGTCATCGGCGAATTTTTATCCCGCAGTGTAGCGGTTCCGGCAGGTCGTTCACATACAGCGTGAAGAGCAATGGAGCAAGGACCGAACCCTGTGGAACACTGCTGAGGAGCCCAGTCTGACTTGCTGCTTCCAACAGTGACTCGCTGCTTCAGTCCTTCCAAGAATGTGCCAATCCATCTCAGAATCTTGCCTCTGATGCCGTGAGCTTCTACTTTCCTCAGCAGCCTTCTACGTGGGACTGTGTTGAACACCTTGGCTAGGCTAGGTCAGTAGGCGGAACTATGGTCAAGCGTACCCATTTTCGGGAACGCATTTTCGTTCCCATGTTTGGGAACGATAAACCCAAATATGGGAACGCCATGTAGGCATTATTTAAAACAAGAAAAAGAACCGTTAAATGACGTCCAAAAAATATAAAACGATCGTGAACCGCCTGATATTTGTCTCAATATTGTTGGGAAAGAGTTTGATATTGTAAGGCCCATCGTAGTTTCAAATCGTTCCCCTATTTCTAAAGCAGTCCATCATCCGGGCCGCGAGCCCAAATTTGGGAACGCTCTCGTACACTGGCGCTGCAAGCGTTCCTTATTATGGGAACGGCGTACCCAAAATTGGGAACGATTTCACCGACGCCTTTCAGGGGCTCTTTTCATTAACAAGCATCACGTCCAACGCCGCAAATTATTGTTAACGCAACAATCATCAGATGACCTTTCCGGCAAGACCGTCGCATGTTTCGCCCGGTCTTCTGCGCTTTTATTCCCGTCGATCTCGCAGCGGGCACGCCCCCCTCTGCAGGATTACGTAATTCACAACGCTCAGCGATGTTCAACAAGGTCTTCCATACCTATATCCACCGTCCGCGCTGAGGGTGGAGACATGTCAAGCACCTGTCTGTTTATCACCGATAGTTGACGAGCACAAGGAAGTATCCAAAAATGGGAACGCTGAATATGTCACACCCTCAAAACACCTAGTCCCAATGAAAATCTAGTTTTTTCCTTTCTTGATGAGTGTAAGTGGCAAAAGGCCTGGTAGGATGGGCACGAGGAATTATCGAAATCAGCATAAAAATTATAAATAAGCCACACAGAGCGAGCTATATAAGAGAAATTCCCCCAAAACGATCACGCTTAGAAACACGGAAGACAAAAACCACGCTCATGACGCTCCTTATAAAACAACTCTAAACAGCTAGCATCCAAATGAAATATGTCTTTCCGGGATGATAAAATACAGCTGGATAATTTTCAACCGCTTAAACTGAGTTTACAACAGTAGCTCGGTATATTCACTCACGTTCCACGCGGTCGTCCGCCCCGACACAAAAGTCAACAATATTACCTCGGGACCGTCCGCGTCTTCGCTTGCATTTGTCAGCATCTGGTGTCGATAGTATGAAAGTTCATAACCAGGCGAAAATTATTATACTTTACCTCAAACTAAAAAATGCTTCATTTTCCTTAAAATTGCATGTTAAATGTCGTATAACCCATATTTCCACCATTCTGTCATTTTCAAAAAATCATTAAAAATATCATTCCACGGTCAATTTCCTTGTTCCACGGTCAGATTAAAGATAACTTTATGGAGATTTAGTAGATACTTAAATCAGCGTGCACTTTTTTGAGACGTAATGCACTTTTGAGTTTTAGTGGGAGAACGGCCGAAAAATTGCCTTCCGTTCTCATAAATGGGAACGCCCGTTCCCATATTTGGGAACTCCGTTCCCAAAAATGGGAACGTTCCTATATTTAGGTACTCATGACCATAGTTCCGCCTACTGAGGTTTAGGTATATGACGTCGACAGGTCTGTTGCTCTCAAACATGCTGCTCCATTCTACTATTGTTAGCATCAGCTGAGTAGAGCAGGACCTCCCTGGACCAAATCTGTGTTGGGCATCGTTGATCAGGTTCTCCGACTTGAGGTGTGCCATAAACCGGTCGCGGATGATCGACTCCAAGAGCTTGCACGGAACAGACGTCAAACTGACCGGCCTGCAGTTCCTTGGTTCATCTTTACCTACCTACCTCATACTTTTCAAACATTTCTTATTTATCAGGAAGCCAATATTTTAACCCCATATTTAACATGTCAATAAAGCCCGACACGCCTCACTACAGTCTCCTCATCCTGGGAGGAGTGTTCAGGTAGACATCAGGATATCACAAAAAGAAGCGAACAGTTCGCGCCCTAGCTTACCCAGACTATATACATAATATAACAGCCCGGATTAAACAAAGAGCTCACCTTCAGCGTACAGCGTGGCCCCGCGCTCCGCTACGCTCAAAGCACTTTCCCAAACAGCTGCTCAGCCAACAGGAAGAAATGAACTGTATTCACAAAATAATGTGTTCGTTTGCTAACGTCATTTACAGCTCACCTTGATTATCCAATCAGTTACAAGAAATACAAGCGAGTTAGGTAAGTCAAAAATTGTTCAGGAATTTCCATGGAATTTCCATACATTTCTCATTTTTATTACAAAAAGACAGCCTCGGAAAAAGATTTGTTTCCATTTTTGGGGCCAGATGTTGTCATGCGAATGCCGGAACATGCTGTCTCAAGAAAAAAGAACATAATTGTGAACAATCGTTATTTATCAATCTGCGCACTTGCGACAAACTATTTTTACTATTGACGTCATCATCAGCAGCCAATGAAAATGTCAAAGTGAAAATATGCTAGGATGTGATTGGAGGAGGTAGCTTCGAACTTTGTCGTCATTTCTTACATACTTTGAAAATACTTTGTATTTCTGCAAGCGATTGTACACCATAATCAGCATAATATATTTCAATTTATGCCTTCTTTTGGTTTATCCGGTTCATCATTTATGTGTACACAATTTCTAAAAAGTATTGAAGGTAAGGGCTCGAACTATGGCATCTTGTTAACATGGATTGCGCGTTTCAGAACATCACATGATAACATGGATAACATGGTTGGCTGGTTTCAGTCTGGCTGGTAGGTAGGTATTTGTTTTCTAGCTGGTTCATCCAGTGTCAGTGTGGTCTTATGTATTGCTTTGTATGACCCTCAATGTACTTCAACTTACCTTCCATAGGAAGGTAGCTACCCCACCTTTTCCAATGCTTTAAATTTGGGCCTTGTTTCACAACCTGATCGTGCAGTTCAAGTACGCGGCTGTATGGGTGCGTTTGAGACAAATTTGGAATTAACGCTTCAGCATTATGAGCATCCAAGCTTGTTGATGATTCCATGGAAACCCAATACACTGCTGTGTGCAAAGCTCAGCAGCGCAGTACCTTGATACAGTGTGGCCTTGGAATTAAGTTGCGGCCACTAAAAAAAGAAAAAAGGAGGGCTTCTTCATCTTTGGATCCTGACGTAACAAGCTATGCGCCTGAATTGTGTTACTGCTCAGTCATCATTGGGTCAGGGTGTGTTGTGATTCAATTTGAATTTTATGCTGCTTTTATTTCAGGATGTCCTCACGAACAGATGATGTTCTGTTTGGCCATGCAACTCTACTGGATGAGCTTGACCGTAAGAATTACATTCCTGTCTCTGAATTAGTTGCAATGTTACATATTTGTTGGATAGATCACATTTACTCTAGGTACCTGCTACCTATTGGCACATCATGTTCAATGACTAGGTACCAGGATGGCGTTCAGCCCCATCACCCATAGAATCAAATGAACTCTACAAGCCACAGCACTATTGCATTTTGTTTGGAGGATCTTCTTCATTCCTATAGTCTTACTTACTGACATGGGCACAACTAATGGTTGTAGGTATTTACTTAGTTACATGCCTGATAGCGTGAAGTGTGTGTGACACTGGATTTGTGGTGAAGTGTGTGTGTGTGTTTGATCATTCGACAGGGAAGGTGATGGTTCTGTTGCGCGACGGACGCACCCTAATCGGCGTGCTGCGCAGCGTCGACCAGTTCGCCAACCTGGTGCTCGACAGGACCACCGAGCGAATACACGTGGGCAAGCAGTTTGGTGACATCTACCGCGGCATCTTTGTGGTGCGCGGCGAAAACGTCGTGGTCGTCGGACTCATCGTAAGTACAGTCAGATGGTACCGCTCGCGCGACTGGCACGGCTGAGCACGGTTGGCTCCTGGAGAAGCTGGGATGGTATGACGCAGACGATGAATGGTTCCGTCCGATCGCGGCTCTCTGAGTGACCGTATTCTATGCCGTGTGCGTTACTGGCGTTACGGTGTGCGTTACTCTGCCAAACCGCTGGTGGTCCACGGAGTGGTGCAGAGGTGTATTTTCAGCCCGATTTCGCTTATGATTTTCACTAACGACCTGTCACAGCATGAACTGAATGGGAAACTACTTATACTGATGCCTATGAAGCTAATTTTTACTCGTAATGGCCTTTGAATCTGTCGTATTTGAAAATTAGCGTTGAAGAAGACCGATCTACAGCTGTAGTTCAGAAAAATTATAGCTTAGCTCTGCAAAAACTGACTGACTTATTCAGAAATCCTTATTACAGGGTGACACAAAAAAAAAACGGTCATCACCAAATTTCGAATAACTTCGGAAGTTTTATTCAGATCATCACCAAACTTCGGCCACTTAAGGTCACACCTATGTAGCATACATCCACCAAGTTTCCAGTCTTCACTACGAATACTTTTAGTACAGTGTGTGTTTTACTGACGCTCCACAATGTGCTCCAGGTGAGCGCCACGGCGCTGCAGGGCGTAGGCACACTTGCATCCGGCGGGCAAAGTTGTCGATAACCCGATGGCTGTGCACTTTACAGAGTGCAATGGCCTCTGAAGACAGTGCTCAGGGGGTGTGCTACCCCTGAAACGTTATTCTTATCGGGTTATCGGCAACTTTGCCCGCCGGATGCAGGTGTGCCTACGCCCTGCAGCGCCGGGGCGCTCACCTGGAGCACATTGTGGAGCGTCCGTAAAACACACACTGTACTAAAAGTATTCGTAGTGAAGACTTGAAACTTGGTGGATGTCTGCTACATAGGTGTGACCTAAAGTGGCCGAAGTTTGGTGATGATCTGAATAAAACTTCCGAAGTTATTCGAATTTTGGTGATGACCGCTTTTTTTGTGTCACCCTGTACTAGCATGAATTTTAACTTAAAAGTTCAGCTCGAAAAATTTAAAGGCATTTCAGCTCAGTTGGTCAGATTCAGGGCGTCAATCTCCGCTCTGGTTTCACGTGGGAAATGCATGGCTGCGTCTTCTGACGTTTCTGCCATGTTTCGAGAACGCGCTTACAGGTACCTAGCGTCAGTGTTTTGTCGCGTGCGACATGGGCCGTGAGATGTGAAGCTTGAACAGTTGGAGCTGATGTGAACGCGCGCCAAGTCCGAGCTCACTGACGGTCAGTTTTTAATCGCACTGCACGGTCACTGGCTAGTCTGACCGATGATAAGAGAACATTCTCCCCCCAATGGGTGTTATTATCCATTGACGTGGAATACTGGAAGCTCATTTTATGGATTATTCCCAAATACATACGCTGCCAGCCCTGCTGAATATAGCACCCTCTGCCGTCGCTTACCACTCACCGCGACCTTCCTGTTACAGGACGAGATGCGCGAGGGCACAGTCGGCCTTCAGGAGGTCTCGGTCGAGGAGATCCTGGAGGCGCAGCGTCAGGTGCAGGAGGCCCGCCACCAACAGGAGCAGCTGCGGGTTAAGGCCATGAAGGAGCGGGGACTGACCTACACGGCCGACCTGGGTCCCGATGACATGTACTGACCGAGCGGGGAGCCGGTGTGGGAAGGGGCTGCCAGGGGTCTGTCGTGTGTGACGGTGCGGATGAGGACGGTTGTGGTTGGTGAGCGTTGCATATGGTACTGAGTTGGTGGAGAAGTGTGGTAACGGTGAACTGTTCATAGCCTGCTCGAGCACAACTCTTGAGCCACTGACCCGCTGAGAGGTGCTCAGACTGAGAGGAGCACGACCGCTCGCTGTGACGGCTTGGAGGGAGGCAGTTTTAATATCGATTGCTCTCTGTCCGCGCTGTTGCCGCACCCCGGTGATCTGACTTATGTGGGCGCCGTTAGGCGGAGTAAGTGCTACCCAAGAGACGATTCCCAGCCATGAGAGGTCCCGGTCACACATATGAGGGGTCACCTGACGATGACTCACATTGTTGCCCTTTGTGACGCTCCGGGTGAAGCTCACAGGACGTGGAGCAATGTCCTCGCCCTGTGGATGACGATGATGATGATGTGGCTGCTGACAGGGAATGCGGCCGGAGCGATGTGCTTGGTGAGGCTGCAGTTTTTCTGTGATACAGAGCATGTTACCTCCTGATTTGATAAGCTGTTTCGGTGAATATTTTGTACTTTATTCTAATAAAAATGTCGACGACGATCGTTTTTTGTTTTGTGCAAATGATATGGGCATGATTTTGTTAGCTTGTGTCTGGCTGGTAAAATATATCTGATTTATATTATTTTTTATTGTGTTGCAAGTTGCGTAGCAGTCAGTTCATTTTGATTCCAGCATTGGAAGGTTCCTGACACGTTACATTTCGACGATTCGAAAAAGGTCTAATAAATTTACATGAGCTAACTTGTTCCTACACCACTGAAATATTGTAGGTACACATTATGCATGTCAGGTTATACCATGTTATTTTGAATGCATCGCGAGATGGACGCTTATAGGTAAAAGGTATTGCTTCCCAGGGGGAGTCGGCAGGGATCTATCAGTACGGCTACTATCCTCGTCACTTGCGGACCTCTCACACCCACCCACCTGACATTCAGAGCACCGCAGGCAGGCATTCTTGAGTGGCAATAGCTAGTCAAAGAAATTCGTGCACCCTTGGCATTGACGTTGGGTAATCCTCTACCGGCTCCAATGTTTTAGAATTTAGATGGATAAAATCATAAATTGTGCAGGAAACCGGTCTCGCAGTTATGTGAGTCGAATGGCGATTTACGGGATGCGATTTATGACGTGTAATTTTCTGATGCTTCGGCGAAATGATAGTGCCTATTTCAGAACTTGAAGGTGAATTCCGTGCAACAAAAGCAGCGATGAAATGCGTGCGGTGGCTGGAAACGCTTGGAATACCAAGGTTAGGGCCTTGACCTATTTATAGTCACCGTGAGAATACCTACCTGAAGCCCAGGCTCCACTACTCGATTTTGTCCGTGCGATTTGGCAATATTGCGATATTGGCTCAGCACATCCGTTTGCACTAGCTGAACATTTTCTGGCATTGCATCTAACGTTATCGCAAAATTGCACGGAAAAATCGCGTAGTGGAACCGGGGCTTAATAATTGTTAGTTCTGATAAATGTCAATAGATGGCGCTACCAGTGGAGCGCCTGCAGATATGCTGTGCCGCGATATTTTCCATAAATATCCATAGATGGCGCCAGGGGTAGAGCGCCTGAAGGTAGGCTGTGCCGCAGGACTCCGAACCATCCGGGTGCGGCCGGGCGGCGGCATTCGCGGTCGCTCGGGTTTGGCCCATAGAGGACGCGTTTAGCGGTTTCCTTCTTGTCATTTTCGCTGGCTCGGAGCCTTCGCTGACCTTGATTCATTTCTAAGATGTGAGTAACTGGACTATTGACTTGCTTGCCTGCTGGGATTACGACTGACGTCAAGGTAAAGGTGAATATAGAATTACTGATTGAATGGGATGATGTGACTTATAAGGTGACGACGCTTACTTAGCGCGGTCTCAGCGAGACGGTGCCATTGACGGACCACCACGCAATTAAATGGACAAATCGAAACATTCATCATTTTTTATTATTATTATTCTATTCATACATTCAATGGATAGAAGCTACGCAGAGTCTGGAGTTGGACATGGGCTTTCTTGGCTCTCGGTGTGACAAAAGAGAACAGCGACCTGTAGCTGTACAGTGGACATTGGTCAATAGACGTCGGACGGAAATGGTACTGATTACCGCTATCGTAAAGAGTACGTATGACTACGAAACAGCACAAGACACAAGTGCCATCAAGAGCTGAGAGTGATCACAGTGCTCTCAGCCGCTCGAGAACATCGAAGTACCACTATCAGAATAGGTATCTAGAATAAGACGGGCTAGGTGCACAACTAGTAGCTACCTCGTACCTACCTATACATGACAAACGATAGTAGTAGAAGTCAGTAGCACGGAAACCAAACAAATGCCTTGACAGATGATTGGGCAGTGTGGTAGAGTTATACTTTGGGCCTATGTACCTATCGTAATAGTGGTACTTTTGCGTACTTCAGTGGCGCCCATTCGAATCGAATGAAACATCACTAATCTCTAGCTAGCAATTTCTACAACCGTGGACATCAAATTGATATAGATCTACAGCTCGTCATGGCGATCGACGCTGAGTGGACGGCGCCAGTTTTCCTGGATGTCCAGCTCTCGCCAGAACTGCAGCCGGTCGCTGAACGGGGCTCGTCCCACGCTGGGTGCGGTGTTCAGGCGCATGTACTCCTGCCGGCTGCGGCTGTACACCGGCCAGCTGGGCATCGGCAGCACGTCCGTGCTCGGGTATCCGCGCCGAGCAAAGTTGGTCCACACCGACACCATGAACCGAATCATCTTGTGCTTGTCCGAGTTCCATGTCACGGGGGTGTCGAGTTCCGTTCGGAAAAGGTACAGCACGTCATCCGAGTGACCCACACCCATTTTCGAGAGATCGATGGACTTTCCCATCATCCCAGCCACCATTGCCGCGAAGCTCTGACGTCCGGCGCCAGTGTAGTCCAGCACGTACATGTAGACTGGCGTGTGTGGGGCTGCCAAGTTGGCCTCCGACATGATACAGTTTGTGAACCACCGGTCGCTGAGGAGGTTACTGTACTCGATCATATTCGCCTCGCTCAGCTCTGCTTCTCCAAAGTAGTGGCGATGCAGTGCTTCTGCAAGAGCGATCGGGTCTGAAGAGGCTTTTTGAATGTTGAGCAAGGAGGCCCAGCGTTTCCAATCGCGGCCTGTTTGGGTTTTCGCCAGCTCGGGATGAAATCCGTTTATCATTGCGAGCAAGGAGCCCTCGTCCTGGGTGAGACCGGTCATCCACGGCACGAGGTTGAACGCGCCTCGCTGCAGAGCCGTGAACGGATCAGTCGGCAGGAAGGGCAGCCGAGAGTCGCTGTCAACGCGCGGCTTGTACACAACATCTCCGGAACCATTCGGGTCCTCATCCAGAAGAGCACCCAAAGCGTTGAAAATCTCCTCTGCCGGCTTCTGACGCATGCAACCCACGATCTCCCGACTGTTGGCTGTGGAACATTTCGTCAGCTCGGCATGTTTCCGGGCGTTGTCTGCCTGAGGATCTCCACTGGCTGCGAAATTACAAAACGAGGCGCCCGACTGACTGATGGCTTTTGAGAACAGGCCGCGTGAGCGAGGACTGAGCACTTGTAGTCCGACAGACGCGCCGCCGGCTGACTCTCCAAAGATGGTGACGGTGTCGGGATCTCCGCCGAACGCGGCGATGTTGGCCTGCACCCACTCCAGTGCCAGCACCTGGTCGTGCATGCCGTAGTTTCCCGGAGCGCTGGCATCCTCTGTGGTGAAGAAGCCGAACGGTCCCAGCCGATAGTTGAAGGTGACCAGCACGACGTCCTCATCCATCAGGTAATCGGGCCCGTAGAAGTCGCTGTCTCCGGAGCCCAGCGTGAACGCTCCTCCATGGATCCAGACCATGACTGGCAGCTGCGGGTGGTCGTCTTCTTCCGGTAGCCGCGGGGAGTAGACGTTCACAAACAGACAGTCCTCGGAGCCCTGCAGCTGGCGCGGCGAGGAGAACATGGCGAACTGCATACACTGGCTGCCGAAGGTGTCGGCCGGACGGACTCCCGACCAGCCGGCATGTGGCTGCGGAGGTCGGAACCGCAGGTCACCCACCGGCGGCTCAGCGTATGGGATCCCTGAAAATAGATGGCGTGATATTAAACACAAGTCATCGAAATGATGTTATGGCCGTTAGAATATTGCTCAGACAAGAGATTGACAAAAAAAATATGGATTGGAACTACAAAAATGGCTAATACTAACCTTTAAATGCGTAGAAATTGTTTCCGAGGAACGACTTGAGAATGGTTCCCTCGAGCTGCCCCGATTGAGTTGACACCCGGGGACCAGTGGCTGGGCTGGCGGCAGAAATCACCGCGAATATTCCCAGAAGTCGTACTAGTCCACCGGCCATTTTTATTGTGTTGGCGATCTGAGGGAAAAGGCATGACGTTACTTCTCTGGGCATTTAAATCGATTTGTTTCGAACTTACGCACTAATCACTAACAAATCATTGTTGTAGGTACATAATCATAAAGGGAAAGCAATGACTGCTCCTTGGTAGCTCTGCAAGCTTTCATCGTGATCGCTGAATGATGAATCTTTCGGCTCCTGAAACGATCAAGCCGTTTGTTGGAAGAAAACATTTATACGTTGAGCTTTTTGGTCTCCCTCTCCCCCTAGAATATAAATAGATTCATAGATAACATGATTCATGTTATCTATAGAAAAATTAGATCAGCACCACTCGCTCAGAAAATGTAGTTGGTACAGACTTAAACCTAACCTAAGCCTAAGCTAGCCATAACCATGCGTCAGAAATATCATCTTGTGACGAGCCGTATCATTCAAGACATTAAGCAAAGTGTTGGTTAATGAGGTATGTGCTACGAGTATGAATGCAGCAATACGAGCGTCGAGCAGTCTCCGTTCAGCCTCTTACCGACCGGAGGTGAGGGCCGATGCACTGTGTGCTCCGTCGTTGGGACTCGACTGGGCAGATGTCGAACCCCGAGCTCTCGGAGCAGGACCGTGTCGCCCCCGCCGGCCACTCCCCCAACGCTCGAGTGTCTGCCGAGTCATCCGACGGAGCGCACTCTGTCCTTCGAACGTTTACTCAGTGACTAGACAGCGGCGAGCCGACATGGGCGACGCCAGCGACGCGCCTCGGGGGTCGACGTTCAGAGGCGGCTACAGGCATGCCTCTAGGGTAGGCCCTATCCAACTCATGTTTGTCATCGTGAGTCTCGGAAAATGGAGAATAACAGTATGAAGGAAGGAAGGAAACTTATATTTGGATTTAAAAACGCACTCGTATCCAGCTGAAAGGAGTAACTAGCGATAATCTGGTTTGTTTAGCTCGTTAGCGATTTCTGTGGGAGGAGCCCGACCGCGCCCTTTCCGCAGGCCCAGTCACGATGACTTCACGGTCGGGCCAGTTCTCTATATAATGTTCTCTCTCTCGGTCAGTTCTCTATATACCGTGGGTCGGGTTTGGCGGCATCTGGTGACCACATGGCCCCGATATCCGGCGGCCGGAAGACAAGAGATGATGCGCCTGCCATTCGAAAAGCAAAGGGGCAAGACCGGCGCAGGGGCGGATGCAGGGGACTTCTGGTGTACCTTCACTTTCACCTCCCCGCTCCCCCCCCCCCTCCATGCATGGCGCTCTTAGGTTCATGTAAGGTTCACGTACCTACGGTTGATACGGTTCATGTTCGCGATCAGCGCAGCCATCGATTCGGCCACTCGCTTGTGGCGATAGGTGTGGACTCGATCGGCCTGTGCCTCGCGACTGAGCGGTGTTGTTACACCTACAAACGGGCTATCATCGTATCAGTGTACTCGGTCGACAAATTGCCAAAGTCGGTGGGTTAAAATGTCGATTGAGGGAGTAGGCGAGCATAAAATGTGCTATCTTTCTTGCTTGAACCGAAGCTCTGTAAACCATACTATTTTTTTATAGCTAGTCTCGAATGCTCATGAAATGTCTTCTGTAATGTAACCAATACTCAGGATGAAAAGTGCCGAAGCATTAAAATCCTAAAATTACGAGCCATAGTACATAGAGCGCTGCTCGCCGCAGACTCACCGACGATTTTAGGACTAAAGTACGTATCGCTTAAGTACGTAGGACAAAAGTACGTATGCAAATGTTCGTACGCAAATATACGTAGGCGATAAAGTTCGTATGCCAAAAGTACGTACGCAAATATTCGTACGCAAAAGTACGTATGCAAAAGTACGTAGTGCATAAAGTACGTATGTCAAAAGTACGTACGCAAATGTTCGTACGCAAAAGTACGTATGAAAAGTACGTAGTGCATAAAGTACGTATGCCAAAAGTACGTACGCAAATGTTCGTACGCAAAAGTACGTATGAAAAAGTACGTAGTGTAAAATGTACGTATGCCAAAAGTACGTACGCAAATGTTCGTACGCAAAAGTTGGTATGCAAAAGTACGTAGTGTATAAAGTACGTATGCCAAAAGAACGTACGCAAATGTTCGTACGCAAAAGTACGTATGCAAAAGTACGTAGTGTATAAAGTACGTATGCTAAAAGTACGTACTCAAATGTTCGTATGCAAAAGTTCGTATGCAAAAGTACGTAGTGTAAAAAGTACGTATGCCAAAAGTACGTACAGTTCGTATGCCAAAGTACGTAGTGTATAAAGTACGTATGCTAGAAGTCGGGTATAGTAGTGTAAGTTGAGCCACTTTTTCTTTATTGCTGCTCTGTTGCCATACTAACAAGGAACTCATGATAAATTCATATACCAAATAGGTAATATAGCTATGTCCATTTCGCCCATTTACTCACCGAGAAATTTTGCTATGCCTTGTACCAAATGCTCATTAAATAAAGAATAAGAAAGGTATTACACATTGATCAACTCAACCCAAGGGTGGGGTACGTACTTAATACCCTACGGGCTACGTGCATTTGCTATGCGTACTTTTTTTTTGTCCGTGACTTACTTTTGTCCACACGTAGGGTAGACCGGGGCAAGTCGCCCCGCCGAGGTAAAACGCCTCACCGATGTTTCTCGGAACTGGCAGGGTTCTGGGGAAAGATCCTCTCTCCTGTTAAATGTGCACTATATGATCATTATATGGGCATACTGGAAAGAAATTGTGATTATTCTCTAAGGAGATATAGCAAAAAATGTGTTTGTTGAGTGATTTTTATGTTTGGTTGTCTGATTATTCATCATCGCGTTCTTTTTTGGTCCACATCAGGTTAACAACTTTTATGTATGTATTTTGAACAACAGTGTTGTCTAACGCTTATGATGCCGGGTTGGTTCGTGTTAAATTATGTCTTGCTGGAGCGCAAGGCGTTGTTCGCTGACCGAACTACGTGATGGGGTAAAACGCCCGAGTAGGTCGCGGGGCAAAAAGCCCCATGGGGCGTTTTACCTCGTGTTGTTCGGACTACCCACTTCCTAATGTTCGGTAGCTGGCGAACAACAAGTTTCTATGCATTTATATGTATTTTCTCAGCAACTGTATAGCAAAGGAAGTATATTGTTAACTGATTTGCATTGCAAAAATTTATTATTTGGCCTTATTATTTGGCCTATTAAATATATTATTATGAGGCAGGTGAAAAACCTGGTCATACAATAGTGTCATAGCTGAACACTTGATAGGATGGAAGGTGTTACCTTCAGTGCCGTGCCTCCAGCGGTCTAACGGACCTCTCATATAAGATTTAGCCAACTACCATCAACCATGTTCAATCTTTAACCCTCGCCGGACCTATTGGTTTTCTACATACGCGCCGGCCGAGGGGGGGGGGGGGGGGCGGGTACGACCCCCCCCCTCGCCGTTTCGCCCCTGGTGGAGCTAGCGCGTCGCGGAAAAAACGAGCGTGTGCGCCGTTACGAGACGCAGAGATTGGTACCCGATTTTAAGGTCCTAGGTCACCCGGTGACGTCAGGTCAAGTGCCCCAAGGTACGGTTCAGTTTTTGGTGAATAACTTCGCAAAAAACGGCCGCAGAGCGCCGATTTTGGCAGCATCGTGTTTGCGTCGCTCAGGCGCGTCGAATGATATACTTTTTGTCCGGGTCAGGTCAACTTGGGGTGTTGACCTCAGGTCAAGGTCAGGTCAGCACCCCCAGGTCACGAAGTTGGTCGGAAGAGGTCATGTCGCATATCATTCGATTCGGCAGGTCTTCCTGAGTCCATTGGTGGCTTTCCCGACTCGCTAGCTCAATTTGATCGGGAGTTATTGACGAAAAACTAATATGACCTTGATGACGTCATAAATGACGTCACGGAAGGTCAACATTGCAAAAGTGACGCTTCTAACCTTGCAAGGAGTACATCAAATCACGATTCTGTGTGCTTGAGATAGTTGGAGATCGTTCCCGGCGCCAGAATAGCAGTTTTCATTTTTTCCCCATTGACTTATAATGGTGAGGTCACGAAAATGACCTTATCTCATATGACCTTTAGGAAAAATCCGAGATATACAAGTTGTGAGACTCATAATGGATACTAGATCCTGCAAGTTTCATTTCCCTGTGACATCTCCTCTGGCAGTGAGGGCGTTGCGAAGTTGCGACATCTGAAGACCGTGCAGAGGTTCACTTATGACGTCATAGGTCAGTGACCTGACCTGACCCAAAAATGCGGTTGGTGTCAAAAGATCCGGCTTGAATCAAAGGTCAGGTATGCCAAGTTTCAGCTCTCTATCGCCAGCGTGCTTGGAGCTATCGCGAAAAAACCCTATGGGGGGCGGCACCCGCCCCCCCCTCGGCCGGCGAGGGTTAATCTAGTGTATGGGGCTTCTTGCCTCAGGCCGTGGGGCGTTTTGCCCTGGGGTTGGGGCAAAATGCCCCATTTGCAGTTGCTTCACAAATCACTTCCTAGCTGGGAGTCCGATCACAAGTGAATGAATTTGAGGGTTGGAATTTAAAATAAAATGTCCAAAGAACACATTGAGCACAAATTTGGCCTTCCAGGTGATGTGAGACAAAAGAAGGTACCTACCTATGTAGCAAAATAAATTATCTTGGGCGTCTTGCCCAAGGCTACCCTACTTTATACCTTACGTACATTTGCTATGCGTAGGCTTTTGTACGTGACGTACTTTTGTCCATACGTACTTTATACCCTACGTACTTCTGCGATACGTACTTTTGTCCATACGTACTTTTTACCCTACGTACATTAGCTATACGTACTTTTGTCCGTGACGTACTTTTGTCCATACGTACTTTATACCCTACGTACTTCTGCGATACGTACTTTTGTCCCAGACGTACTTTTGTCCATACGTACTTTATACAGTACGTATTTCTGCGATACGTACTTTTGTCCCTGACGTACTTTTGTCCATACGTACTTTATACTGTACGTACTTCTGCGATACGTACTTTTGTCCTTGACGTACTTTTGTCCATACGTACTTTATATTGTACGTACTTCTGCGATACGTACTTTTGTCCCTGACGTACTTTTGTCCGTACGTACTTTATACTGTACGTACTTCTGCGATACGTACTTTAATCCTACGTACTTTTGCTTACGTACTTTTGTCCTACGTACTTAAGCGATACGTACTTTTGTCCGTAACCCCTCACCGACTATGGTGAGCGCGTCGGGAAAATAAACCTCTAGTTCATACTATGCTCGCTAGTGGCGCTGGAGCTGCGGACCGTGCTGTTTGGGTGCTCTTCATACAACACCCAACTGAGTCGGTTCGAAGGAGAAAGGAGAAGCCGAGGTAGCACCGAACCTTATTCCATAAAATCCTTCATGCCCCATTCAGAACAACACGAATGAACAATAAAAAATCAGGCCCACCTTATATGCACAACTGATCGAACTCTCCAGTCCCGAGCTCATTTTTCATTCGAGATAATGATCAGTTTCTTGCATTGTTTGTGTACAATAATTTGCATTTGTACATGCAAACACTCCGAAACTTGTAGCGGTACGAAACAAAACAATGAATATTGAAAATTGGTTTAAAGTTAAAGATAGAAAATTTAGCGTTCACAAAGTGCTCGACGCATACCTATCAGTTTTTTTGTTGTACCCCCTAAATGTTAGATATACGTGCCACTAACGCTGCAAGTACTGAAGTATTTACCTTTCTCCAGTTTGTTATGCAAGTAAATGCATCGAAATAGTCCTAAATAATGAAGCACACAACAAGGTGAGCAGGATATGCAGTATATTGATAACGTATCAATGGAGAACAGTGGGAAGTATAACAACACATTGTAAGCTAACGTCCTGGCCACACCGGTTAATATTTAGGCGCCGGCTTGTAGCCCGGGGAGGGCTTGTAAGAGGCAGGCTTATAATCAGGGTGTCTAGCTTTTCCCTGATAGGTGACCTCGGCGTTGAATCCCTTGTAGTGGTCGGCAACGTACTTGACGGTCTGGATGCGGCCGTCAGGCAGAGCCACCGTGTAGGAGCCCTGGGCGTTATGGCCGTCGCTCTTCTCATTCTGGGCGAAATTAGTGCCGAAGTATTTGTCGTTGACTGCGTAATCGAAGGCGTACGGCCTGGGCTCGTCCTTGTACTGGGGCTCCGGCTTGTACGGGGCTGGGGCCGGCTTGTACGGAGCCGGGGCCGGCTTGTAGACGGGGGTGTCCGGGGCCGGCGCGGCGGCAGCCACGGCCAGGACGGCGGCAACGATGAATACCTGGAAATGATGGTAGTTGGGCTAAGCTGGTAGTTATAAAACACGTAATTTTATCAGGAATTAAAAACATATAAAACGTACTTAATATATACCGATATAGGTAACCGAAGGTTTGTTGACAATAGTTAAAACACTATTCTTTAGAATTGTGTTTTTCTATTGAAAAATAAATCTGAGTTCCCTGACAATTTGGCAAAAGCTGCCTGAGATCAGTAAACGTTACTGCAATGATATATTACAGAGTCTGGGAAGTCCGTATCAGTGCCAAAACTTTTGTTGCCATGTGGCTTTTTCAAATTATTTTTGTTCCTATATTTGTCACTTTTTGTTCTTCCGCTTAACAGACATGATAAAAACAATCGTTTAACATTTAAAAACACTGTACAGGAACTTCGACTGCTACTTAGGTGCCTAATACCTAACAAACTGTGTTAGTTTCCGAGCGACTCGCAGTTTGATCTCACCTTCATGTCTGAAGAGCTCCCGTTTCCCCGAGGCGACTGTTCCTCAACTGATGTCGGTGCAGAGTGAGAGGGGCAGTTATATACCTACAGCTGCAGTGCCCGTCACTGCCCGTCATAAAGCCTGACCGCCGGGTGTTGTCATCGATGGGAAAAGATTGCAGCGGCCGAGCGAAAAAAGTTGAAGACATTGATATAAAAACGTTTTATTTATACCTGGACAAACAATGGAGCCTACTTTGTAATTATAATTGTTTTGAAATGGCTACATATGTGTTTCGGCAATATATAGTTATCTTTCAATTTTCTTTTAAATCAATGTTTGAGAACTGAGATGCCTACATTTAGCCAGGTAGCCCAGAGTTGAAGACATGTTGACTGTTATCCATGGTTAAACCATGAACTCCTGATTCAATCGGGAAGATATCTATTACCTGAATACCTATAGGTATTTACGTTATGACTTATGGTAGTTTTATGACGGGTATTTATGTACATAATGATACATCAAACCACGCTATCAAACGCCCCTCCACCCCGACGCCCAAGGTTTTTTCGAATATCTCAAAAACGGCGGCGCGCCGCCGTTTTTTAGTAGGAGAGACCCGGGAGGTATGGGCCGGTTTTGTGAAAAGGCAATTTTCTTCCAGTGGGCAGTGGCTAAACCCGGCTTTTCACTCTGTGTACGTGAAATTGCCTTTCGCCTGCAAAGTGTGCCTGATATTGAGCACAATACTCGTATCTGGGATCTACCTTGACTCTTGAGAGCTCTCTTAGAGCCCAGGAACCGCATAAGCGGCCAATAGCTTGCTTCATGGAGGTCACTTTGCCACATCTTTATTTGGGTGATCTCAATCACGTTCCATGACATAAGACAAACAATATTTTTATGTTCGAAGGTATTTTGTAGTTAAATTTTCGACCACGCGCGACAAAAAGAAAACTTATTGAACAGGACATGGAATCAAAGCATCATTTTATTGTTTAAGGATCACCGGGGGTAGGTGGCCCGAACCTCCCGGTTAGGACGTCAAAATGCGCTTAGCATCTCAGCTCATAATTGTGCAAGAAAGCCTCAAATTATTTATACCCAGTCTTAATTTGCATGCTTTAAACGTTATGTTAGCGATGGTGTGACATAATAAAACGGGCTTCGTTCACATAAATCGTGAAATTTCTGTATGTACCGTATGTTACTCGAAGAGGGCAAAAACGCTTTATCACCGCTCATTGCCAAAGGAGACTGAGGCATAGATTTTGGAAATCGCGTGGGTTGTAAAACGGAATGGCTGGTACCAATTTACGCAGTTAAATGTGAAAAAAATACGTAACACTTCTTCAAAACTGCGATGGCCCATACCTCCAGGGGGCCCATACCTCCCGGGTCTCCCTTATACCTATTCATACATCTTTTCCGCACATGCAATGAAACTTTCAGACCCGGGTCGTTCAAGGTCAGATCACCATGTAACGTCAAGTGAACTTACCTCCGAAAAAGTTCAAAGACTTGCTGTAGCTACACAAAGTGAACGATCACTTTGAAACTTTCAGCGATTGATAAGAGTAACAGTATGTATAAAATGTATGTACACCAGTAGAGTCTCAGATTTTAAATCTGTGACCTTAGGTCAGGTCAATTTTGCGACCTCTCCATCATAAGTCAAAGGAAGAAAATTGAAATGTGCTTCTTTTGGGCGAATGCCGTTCTAAAGTCCAAAACCCTCTCATACATCGGTTCAGAGGTAAACATTATACACTGTATCAGAAATTTGCACCTGTGACCCCTATGTGTGCTCCTGAGGTCATCTCAGGTCATGAAAGGTCACCAGCAGTCTTTTTGACTATAACATTTGATAGAGACGTGCTAGAGCGGTGATAACATGTCAGATGTGTTCAGCTCGACGACACGGATCGACTGATGCAACATGATCTTTCGGGTCAGGTCATGACCTTGACCTGATGTCAAATTTTCAAAATGACTTTCCATGGTCATCTTATAGTTCATTCGACGCGTCTCGATGAGAGGAACACGACGCTGGCAAAAGTAATGTCGTGGCTTTCTTGAGTTAAAAGTTATTACCGAAAAACATTTTTCGTGAAAATGGCTATTTCTAGTGTTTTTGCCCTCTGGACGCTAAACCGTTGCCCTGAGGTCACATCTGAGGACATGCTGGCGAAAGGCGTTGAAAGAACTATGGAATGCTCATTTCTGCGGCGCTGTAGCTTTATTTGTTCCCGAATTAGCCGTCGGATGTTTCGAAAATTGTTGAAATAGACAAAATCCTTAAAAATAACCGAAGCATTTTATTACTCATCGAGTAATTACTCGGTAATCGCCGTTTCACCTACCGCACCCCGAATGTCACGTTATGGAAGTTTGTGCCCCACAAGGACTAGCTCGGCTCCAGCCTGCCTCCCAAGTCCCGGATCACATAGTGGCAAGCGGTATGCTACGTACAAAAATCTTCAAATAAATTAGAAGGTATTCTTCAGCTTGTTTAGGTCAGTCAAAGGCTGGATCAATTATTTCCTGTTTCGATACTTTCGAACGAAGCGACACACAAACCATGAGTTTATTGAACTGTAAGAGCTACGGGGTTGCGGCTCAATCGATAAACTTTTTAAACCTCAGTCCTGCGATTACAATTTGAACAGCGCTGCATGGTTATGTGATACCTATTTTGCTTCCAACGTTTTTCTCTTGTTGAGACACGTACCTAATTGAAATACAATTTTGACTTTATTGAAATCAATTCTAAAATCGACTTCAGGATAAGGTCATGCCCCGACCAGTCTCATGCTTAAGGCTTAGGTCTTTGTCGAAAATTGTCTAAAATATTGCGCTGTGTCATGTAATTATTAGGTACCCTGCCGAGCACAGGAATGTTTTCACCGTTGGCTGAACTTATTTTTGCTCAATTTGTGGCTCACGCAGGGGGAGGCACTCGCCTTGGCCGTATATGGGCCAGAATGTCTAACGATTTCCGCCATGTTGTGTATACCAAAGTCTTGAAAAGTTGATCACTGCAATCAAACTGCAAGCATGAAGCAGCAGCACTTTTGAGTAGTGTACCTCTCACTAAACTGCACCTCTGCTACCGTACATGCAATTTATATTTCTGGTATACACAACATGGCGGAAATCGATAGACAAAAACAAGTCACCAATGCTCCTTCCAGTATATATTAGAGTTCAGTGGGCTCACGTAACAATATGAGGCAGTTTTATTGAAGGTCAATGTTATGCAAGTATTTCCCCGTTGGAGATCTTTTACGCATTCAGGCCCGCTCTTAATGTGGATTTTGGCGATAAGTTGGCGATCAAAGATGCCTAAGTTGAGGTTATGGATAAATGTTCAGACCAGCATGGACGCCATAGACCGGGAACAATGCCTACGAATTGGAATCACATATTTGTGAAACCCGTCAAAAGCCATTCAAACATTATCAGCGATCATTCAGTAGTTGTAGGTATTGCATGTGTTGGTTGGGAAATTGCGTCGACGACCCTGCATTATGTCATATTGAGGCCAATTATGTAAAGTCAGGTCATAAGGTCATCAGGAGTCCTTTTACAATACGTCTTGATAAAGACATGTTACAGCGATGACATGCCTTATCACTGCATTTACATTTGTCTTTACATTTGTAAAGATCACCTATACATAGGTACCGTGTTCAACTCTTCAAATAAACACTGGATAGTGGATAAAATTATATGAATCTGTGCATTTTCTGGTTCGTTCATGATCTTGATTTGTGGTCAACTTTTTCTTCTTTTTTCAGATTTTAAATCGTTTGACGAGTCTTGTCGGAAGGAGCACAATGCTTGTGACATAACAGTATAAGTTAAGTTTTATATCGAATGCTATTGCGACTTTCCCAATTTAGACCGTCTTTTTTGGGCAGTTTCTCTTTGACATTTTCTATCTAAAGCCATGCATCTGAGGTAAATAAAATAATTTGTAAAACAAAAAGAATATATATATATATATCAAACCATTTGCCGCTGTGCTGCAAAAAGCTGACTAAAGAGAAAGAGTGGTGTAAAAATGGTCCCACATTACGTTTCTTTCTTCGTAAACCTCCCTCTCAATTACAGCCAAACGCATGTGGGGTTCACTTGTGCTGTCGAAAGATGACAAATTGCAGAATGACCAATAGCAGCGAGGTGAAAAAGCAGTCTGGTTCAACAAAAATGCATCATTTTCATTCATCCACTCACGAAACACCACGAAATGGAAGAAAAACGTAGTCATGTATTATAAAACATGGCAGGTACGAGCGTTGACAATAAATATCACAACACAAACAAGAAACGCCGCATTGCAGTCAATTTAGTAGGCGGGCTTGTAGACCGGGGCAGGCTTGTAGGGGGCAGGGGCGGGCTTGTAGGGGGCGGGAGCCGGCTTGTAGGGAGCGGGCTTGTAGGCCGGGGCCGGGTGGTACTCGGGGTACTGGGCCTCGCCCTCGTAGGTGACCTCGGCGTTGAATCCGCCGTAGTGGTCGGCGACGTACTTGACGTGCTGGGTGCGGCCGTCGGGCAGAGCCACCTTGTAGTAGCCCTGGGTGTTGTGGCCGTCGCTCTCCTCCTTCTTGGCGAAGTTGGTGCCCGTGTAGTGGTCGTTGACGGCGTAGTCGTAGGCGAACGGCTTGGGCTCCTCCTTGTACTTGGGCTCCGGGTGGTAGGGGGCCGGCTTGTAGGCCGGGGCCGGGTGGTAGGGGGCCGGCTTGTAGGCCGGGGCCGGCTTGTACGGAGCCGGGGCCGGCTTGTACACGGGGGTGTCCGGGGCCGGCGCGGCGGCAGCCACGGCCAGGACGGCGGCAACGATGAAGACCTGAAATGGAATGCAAAAGGTGAAATACAAGATGGTTATGGCTCAGCGTAAACAATCGCAGTAACTGAAACTCACTTCCTTGGATTAAGCACAGCTTCTTTTGATGAATTGGAAAAAATTAGGGTTAGGTATATCCTGTAAGCATTAAAGTTTATCAATAAAGAGAAGAGCAGCTGCTAGAAGCATAATTATTCACGTTCACAGCACATAAGCACTTCCAAACATCACTGTCGCCACGTCAGGTCACTACACGACACTGCACTGCTCGCCGCGGTCTGCTGTGCTGGTCAGAGGCCGGCCGGCTGACCCCGGTCCCAGCGGTGGAGCCGGCCACTGTACCGCCGCCAGCCGCCAGCGACGCTCGCTACACGGGGGACACGGACAGCTGCACGTGCGGCCGTACCTTCATGGTGGTGCGGTGAGATCCAGGGTGGAGCAGAACTGGTGCCGAGCCGTGCCGCCGTCGCCGTTATATAGGTGGTCCGGACGGCAGGGGCGGGGGTCACGGCCGCGGCGCTCCGGCGGTGCCGCTGTGGAGAAGGGAGCCAGTGTCGCCGGGTGGGGCAGGGCAGGGCGCCGACGGGGTTCGAGCCGGGCACCGCGGCCTGGGGCGGTAGTGTACGGGAGGCTGGGATTGGACGTTAGGGTACGACCGACTTGGAACAAAAAGGTGCGGCATGATTTGCTCACACGCCGAGGCAAAAAAGAAAAAAAAAAACATTCATTTGCTTACTTTCAAAGCTTTTGAAATTGCAACAACCGTCATATTTATGTAACTGCACAATATATCCTACCACGTAACTGTTCAGCAATCAGTGAGCAATATGCTGCCTCTGGAATCTAGACGTCTTTAGACAAATCGGCATTCAGGAACTTTACTTCTGATAGTCTTAGAACCGAATGGTAGGTATCTAGCAATTCTTCTAAAAACGTTTGAGACATGATTGTGGCCTGTGGGTCGTCTCGAGTGACCGTTTGAGCGGATGGGTGTCCTGTCCCTTCGAGACACGTGAGTCCCTACAGCGCGGAGTGGTATAATGAAACATTGTACTTACTGGAGCCAGCCAGCAAGGGCTGTGTGTGATTGAAACAGTGTTTTCTCTTTTGGTGCAGCCCCCTTTTTTCAGGACCCGTGCAATGTTCAATGTCTTACCCTGCCTTATTTGTAAGCCGATTAGGCAGTGCGACGACAGTCTAAAGGACGACAGTTAATAATTCAATAGGCACTGTAATTTTTATTGATCGCGTTTGTCCCGCCCCCTGCTGGGGGGGGGGGGTTGAACACCCCGTGCGGTTTCTCGCGAATGTATACAAAACGGCGACTTATCATGCGTCTTCTCTGCACATGTGAAAAGTTCAGACCAAGTTCTCTCGGTCACCAGGTCACATCAAGAAACCTCACCTCAGAAAAAGTTTAACATAGCTACACCGGATGACGGATCGCTTGGAAACTCTCAGCAATTGATAAAGAGCAACAGTACGTAAACAATGTTAATCTCGGATTTTCGATATCGGTGCCCCAAGGTCATGCCAATTTTGCGCCCTCTCCATTATAAGTCAACGGGAGAAAATTGAAAGGCGCCTCTTTTGGACGAAAATCATTCTGCACACTCCCAAACGATAAGTTGTAAGACAATATGACACACTGAACCGACAAATGGCACCCGTGACACCTCCTCATGTCCCTGAGGTCATTTCCCGTCACGAATGGTAGGTATAGTATCTAACAGTTTTTCACTTATAACGTTTGATAGAGGCATGCTAGAGCGATAACAATGCCTCAGATGTATTCTGCTCGACGATACGGATCGACTTATGTGCAACTCGACCTTCCCTGGCCAGGCCATGACATCGACTTGGGGTCAAGTTTTCAACTTGATTCGTCAAATTAATTCGATGCGTGTCGACGGGAGGAACACAGTGCTGGTAAAAGTAAAGTCGTGCATGCTTCAAGTTAAAAGTTATTGCAGATAAGACAGTTTGGCAAGAAAATGTCTTTTTGGCAGCTCTCGCCCCCTCCAGGTTAAATTATTGACTTTTGGCCAAATTTGAAGACAGTCTACACTCTACAAAAAGAGCGTTAAAAGAGCTGTTAAATGATTCGCTTTTCCGTGGTGCTGTAGCTCTATCCGTTCCTGAGCTATGCGCCGGTTTGTTCAAAAAATGTTTACGTTTGACCCGGAATTTGAATTTGACCTACAATTACCTCTGGTGACCTGACCTTTGACCTGACCTAAAAAGCTACTGAAATAATTTTTTCATTATTTTTGACGTCGCCTATGGCGTGTCGCTACATGTCCCAGGAGCCGAGTTACGAAGGCAGGGCCTATTTTAACATGTTAACTGGGGTGGCAAAACCCACCCCAGTGGTGCGGTTTTCCACCCCAGTCGTCTTGCTTTGCCACCCCAGTGCAAAACAGCCCAAAAGTCTGCCCACAGATATTGGCTGCCGACAATCACGGAGGCGACACATTCTTGGGGCGAACTCAGCTTGACAGGGGGAAAAGGGCTCACTGAGGCGCCACCACCACCAATGGGATGCCCTCTCACTACTGGGGGCGCCCTGCCGCAACTGTGGCGCCCTACTTTTTTTTTTTTTATAAATTTAGCTTGAATGTTTGAATGGACGGATTGACAGAGCCGGAGCCCACGCTAAGCAGAGCTTGTTGCGTAGACCCCGACCCCTACCGTCTGATCGCGCAATTCCGGGTAACGGAATAATTTAGATGCCTAAGTTTAACGTGCCCTTCAAAGCCGGACACAACCTGTCCCACTCAACTGACTTCAACTGGCTGCGGCTGCTCCCACCAACCGCAGACCATCCCCGTCAGGAGTCTCAAATATCGAGCACCGGAGCGACTCGAACCCGGGCTCTCACTACCGGGAGTCCGGTGCTCTACCAACTGAGCTATGGGACTCTCTAATTCGATTGGGACACACTACCGGCAATGGGGCGCCCTACCAGCACTTGGGCGCCTACCACGACTGAAGAGCCCTATCAACATTCGGGCGCCCAGACACGATTGGGGCGCTACACCACTACTGGGGCGCCAACTGCACCTTTGGGAGCCCTATCAGTATCGGCCGCAAAATTAAATTTGTCATGTGGCTATGAGACAGGCCGTGTGATCAACAATGGATTTTCAAACGCACGTGCCCGCATTGCTTCTGACGAGGGTATTTCCAAGAGAAAAATCTGGCGGGCGGCGGTTTAACCCGCGCCCCACTGGGGGTCCTGGATTTCCACGCCCTGCTGGGGGGGGGGGCGGGGATTTGAACACCCCCCTTCTAAGTCGGCTCCTGGGCCAAGTAGCGACACGCGGTAAGCGGCATCCGAAAGGACGTCAAAAACCATGACGAAAATACCCACTTGTTATTTTTTAGGTCAGGTCAAAGGTCAGGTCACCAAAGGTCATCAAAGGTCAAATTTTGTTATTTCAACATTTTTCGCAACTGCCGACGGACAGCTCGGGAACCAATAGAGCTACAGCGCCGCGGAAAAGCGCAATCGATAGCTCTTTTACAGGGCTTTCTGAATAATGTTCTCAGGTTTGACCTCAGGTCAACGGTTTAGCCTCCAGAGTGCAAAAACTTCGTTTTCTTCAATAACTTTTGACTCAAGAGAGACACGACAGTATTTTTGCCAGCATGGTGTTCCTCTCGTCTAGACGCGTCGAATGAACTATAATTTGACCTTGAAAGGTCAACTTGAAAATTTGACTACAGGTCAAGGTAATGACCTGACCGGAAAAGGTCGTGCTGCATATCAGTCGATCCGCAACGTCGAGCCGAACACATCTAAGGCGTTTTCATCGCTCTAGCTTGCCTCTATCAGAAGTTATTAGCGAAAAACTGTTAGATACCATTCGTGACCTGATATGACCTCGGGGGCATAACGAGGGGTCACGGGTGCCATTTTCTGGTTCAGCGTGTCATGTTAACTCGTAATTTAGTGTTTGAAAATGTTTAGAATGGCGTTCGTCTAAAAGAGGCGCTTTTCAATTTTCTCCCATTGACTTATACCTAATGGAGAGGTCGAAAAATTGACCTGACCTTAGGTCATCGATATCGAAATTTCAAGATAAAGTGACCTCGAGTGACGCCGGCTGCTTGGTATGGGAAGGTGTTTATCATGGACGGATCGGGGGGGGGGGGGATTTGAGGGCCATCGGCATAAGCAGTAAAAGTTCTCTGACGAAAGGGGGTTGCACCATGCACAGCCGACTTTTGGCTTAATTCTTTCCATGCATCGCCCGAAAGGGCTATGTTAGAAAAAAAAACTATGCCAACAAAGGCCTCCAGACACTTTCCCGAAACGTTAGTCCTTACGTACTACCGTCACAAAGAAAAGATTCTGAGACTCGATTGCGACGCCCCCCCCCCATCGAAATGCTGCGCACAGCAGTATTTCGGTGGGGGGGGGGGCGCCAACACAAGAGACAGGGGCGCCACCACTGCCTGGCCACCCCAGTCCAATTGTCTTAAAATAGGCCCTGTACGAAGGGGTGTTCAAACCTCCCCCGAGCAGAGCGTGGAAATCCAGAAACCCCAGCGGGGCGCGGGTTAATTTCAAAGCAACCTTTAATCTGCATGGCCATGATACAGAACATTTACTTATTTAGTTTAGGCTACTTAACCCTCGCCAGGCCAGGGCCTTTTTCATAACGCGGACGGGCAGGGAGGGAAGGGTTGGTATACGACCCCCTGGCGATTGGCGCTTATGGGCTATGGCACTTAGAAACGCCAAATTTATAGGTAGGTGGGCCCATAGGAGATCTCGCCCCTGTGCAAATTTGGTTGCTCTAGGTCAATATTTAGGGCGAGGGGGGGGGGTATAAGTGCAAAAATTTCGCTAAAACAGGTCAAAGTTTTTCGCTCATAACTTTTGATCTAATCAAGATCGAGCAACAATAAAAGCATCCGTGAACTCGGCACGTTCGTGCGCCTCGAATGGTAAACTTTTTTTTTTACAAGTTAAAGTGAACTTAAGATTTTCCTAATTTTCAAATGAAGTTCAACTTATGAAGTACCCCAAATTGCGTCATATCGCATGTCATTCGATTCGGCTGATCACAAGGAACCCGATGACACAATTTTTAAGCTCTAGCCCCATTGTGTGCAAAGTTAGGTATTAGCAAAAACGTGAGTTGACCTCATTTGACCTCAGATGACCTGAGCTACGTGTTTTTTTCAGCAAGCAAACACCGAATTCATCTTTAATGGAGCTTAAAGGGACTGTTACTAAAGGGACTGTAAGTATGGAATTTCATCTTTCATTCTTAACGCAGCCCCACAATAAAAAATACAAATATAATATAAACTGTTACGCCGGTACGGCATGTGGTAAATCTCTTCCCAACCTTGGGCTGTGAAAATGCAGTTTTATTCACCTCGGTTTTTTGCTACGGACCTCGTGCCTACCGGCACTCGGTCCTCCGCACAAAAACCTCGGTGAATAAAACGCATTTTCCCAGCCCCGGTCGGGAAAATATATTCCTGCCCGGGGCCGGGATGATTCAATAAATGTCACCGAGGTTTTTTAGCGAAAACTCCGAGGGCCGTTAGGCCCGAGGTGCTTTTCGCTTAAAAAAGCGAGGTGACATTTATTGAATTCCCGGCCTTAGGGCTGGAAGGTGTTTCCCATACCTGCCAAAAAGCTCACAACTATAATTGATAGTGACGTCAGCAGCCGTGTGGTTCAACGCGTTTAACCACACCCCTTGAACCACACGGCTGGCAATATTAAAGCACTGCATTAAACTTTGAAAAAAGTGGTACAGTGCACGTGCCATTAAAATGCCTGGATGTCTCGATTTAATCATGCAATGTAGCAGGTATGGGAATATATATTCCCGTGTTCAGATAACGCATTCATCTCCGAGCAGATTAACTCTTAAATGTATGGGAAAACCATGACGTTGAGAGCTGTTGCGAGGAGCATGACAAATGTAGGAAGTATCATTAGAATATATGACCTTCTCCTCGGAAAATGACCAAATGAATGAAAATGATTATTTATTGATGAATTGATGATATTTCGGTCACAGACCTTCGTCTAAATCGAATTCGTGAAATCGTACAAGGCAAAAGTAGCGGCTTTTTTTTCACTCGCTACTTTTGCCTTGTACGATTTCACGAATTCGATTTAGACGAAGGTCTGTGACCGAAATATCATCAATTCATCAATAAATAATCATTTTCATTCATTTGGTCATTTTCCGAGGAGAAGGTCATATATTCTAATAAGGAAAACCATGACGTCTTAGCAAGGTGGTATTTCTTCTGTTTTTTTTTCTCCCTCCCTTCCTACCTTCCGGTGTTTTCAACTGTAGCCAACCGTGCTGGATAGCAAAATGGTTTATATTGGAGGTCTTTTATCGATTCTTTGTGTTCGTAATGATTTCTTTCTCCAGTGAGAAATTGTCGTGCAACAAAAACAGCTTCTATTCATTTCACATTGTATTGCATAAAACAAACACACTGATGGACAATAAATACGCAGCAACAGGGACAGGAATCACAGTGGCATTCGGACTAGTTGTACTTGGGGGCGGGCTTGTAGGGAGCCGGAGCGGGCTTGTAGGGGGCGGGGGCCGGCTTGTAGGGGGCGGGCTTGTAGGCCGGGGCTGGGTGGTACTCGGGGTACTGGGCCTCGCCCTCGTACGTAACCTCGGCGTTGAATCCGTTGTAGTGGTCGGCGACGTACTTGACGGTCTGGATGCGGCCGTCGGGCAGGGCCACCTTGTAGTAGCCGGTGGTCTGCTTGCCGTCGCTGTTCTCGTTGGCAGCGAAGTCAGCGCCCGAGTAGCCGTCCTTCACGGCATAGTCGAAGGCGTACGGCTTGGGCTCCTCCTTGTACTGGGGCTCCGGGTGGTAGGGGGCCGGCTTGTAGGCCGGGGCCGGGCGGTAGGACGGCGGGTTCTCCGGGGCCGGGGCACCGGCGGCCACGGCCAGGACGGCGGCAACGATGAACACCTGAAAAATAGAAAATATTTAGTTAGATCACCGGGTTGGAAGAATTCCATGCATAAATTGATGCAGATAAAAAATAACCGTAGTCATTTTTAATTCTGTCGTCAACGCCCTGGAGAGCCTGTGCACACACTTACAAGCACACTCGGCAATTTTTCTTCCGGTGTTCACGGCTGACACAGACTGGGAACATTTAACTATTAACCTTTCGTCTCAATTCCGAAACACTCCCTGACCGAGACCCACTTCGGTACCAAATCGCCGCGTTCGCTCTCACCTTCATGATGTGGTGATCCGGTTGTGAGCGTTCCTCAACTGATGTCGGTGTGGAGTGAGAGGCCGCTTATATAGCTGGGCACGCCCGTCACCCCTCCCGGCAGTCAACTGGACCGATCGAACATATCTTCAAGGTCGAGTGTCGACGATGTCTGGTGGACACTGGACAATGGACGTCGAAGTGACCAGCGATGCGTTTTGCTATTCATACACTTGAACCAACGACCATGTTAGTTTTCGATGACGGCTTAGTTTTTCGCTTAAATAAAAAATGCAGGATGTCAGGTAAGTGTACCGCATGTATTTGGAACATTATGAAATCTCACAGATGCACCTGATTCCCATAACGATGCTAGTCAATTTTTTCGAGGAGATTGACTTGAAACCAGCACAGGCAATACAGAAGTATCGCAACCATTCTGGTAATGCCCTGAATCCCTCATCTATGGACAGGTAAATAAGAGACGTCCGGAATCATAGTCGGTTTTTGAAATGTCACATTTCGGCCACGCATAACTTATTACAAGACTTAAGGCTTTAGCCATCATTTGTAGCTCATTTAGAAAAGGGCAGAGCGGGACACTTTCGTTCATTGGGCACATTCGTTTCCCGCAGTTAATGGGAACACGAGTGGCTGCCAAGCTAAAGGTAAATTATAAAAATATGTTCATCATTGCCGCCCCCTGTTCTCCGTAGAAGACAACACTATTACTGCTATCATGCTTGATAAAACCGCAAAGTTGCATTATTCGTGCGCTTTTTAAACTTTTTCATAACATCCACTTTCGTGATCCTGGCTCGAAAATGCGGATCAGCTTTTCAAAATTTTACGGCGAAGAAGCTCACGTTATTCACGGAATTGCTGCAAACTCGTTTGTTAAAAAAGGTGCCATTTTTCAACAAGAAGCTCTAAAATATATTACAAAAAAACGTTGTGGGGCAGCTTCATGTACGCACTGCCCAGGGGCATATTCCTGCATTTCTTCGTTTTTTTTTTGCGACCCATGACTATCTGTAGAAGGTTTCATTTATGACGCTCGCCTGACTCAGTCTTGGCTGCTTGCGACGTCGTGAGTCGTGACAAGTAATTCACGCGACCTTGGCGAGGTCACGGAGGCGGGCTGATGGCCGGCAGTTGGCACATTATTGTTAGCCAGCCCATTCTTTCTACATTTGCTGTGCTATGCATTCTTGTCGAAAGGAATCGAGTGAAATGCCCCTCTGACAACTTCTTTTGGTAAAATATGGAAATGCCTGGTTATTCCTCGAACTTTGCAGGGTGCACGGAAGTGCCCCACCCCTTGCACGAAAGTGCCCTATACCTGGGGTAGTTTCGTGCAAACGTTCAGAGTTTCTTAAAGTCATATTTTCTAATAGAGACTGTAATTTTAGAGGATAACTATTAATGAGGAAAAATACCTGCCATAGTTCCTTTCCATATACTACAATCAACAATTTTACCATTGCATCAACCAAAAAAAAAACAGACATATGGATTTATCCATTTTTTTGCACGAATGTGCAATGTGCATCACTCTCCCCTAAGTACAAACATTGCTAAATAAGTAGTAACAATTGCATATTATCAATCAACCCGCGCCCCGCTGGTATATTAACTAGCTGTATGCGCCTCACGGGTGGGGGCAGACTCTGCCAGCTTGTCTAACTTCCGATTTAGGGATTTAAGAAAGACAACGGAAACGGCAACCGGAAGCTCTCAACACTACGGACCTTTGGAGCGCGAATTGTTTTGCTTAACCCGCGCACCGACGGGGGGGGGGGTCAACCTCCCTCCCTGAGGTTTTTCGTGAATAGCGGAAAACTGCAGGGTGTAGCGTCGCGAAATTTGACATGACTATTTCCTCATTAATTTTACACAAGGTGTGCAAGTTTCAACCTATTATCTTTCAAGGTCGGGTCACCAGGTCACTTCGAATGACCCAACCCCAAATCACTTTTTGCAACTTTCTCACCGTGATAGGGCTACAGTAGATGACGGAGGCTTTTGAAAGTCGCAGGAGGCAATGAGGTCATTAGTAGCTACAATTTGTTTATATCGGAATTTCGAGACCGATGACCTAAGGTCAGGTCAATTTCTTGACCTCCCCATTGTAAGTTTTTTTTTTTTGCTCCGCCAGCCTAAACCTATAGTCTGGAACCGGGGGTCATCATTACATCTGGCAGTTTTGGCCAGGAGCGAAGTTTTACGTTAAGCCGGTTTATGTGAACCCGGAAGCAATATATGTAGGTAATAGCAACGTGGGAGCCTAACCTTAGCGCTACTTAGGCATCTTACCCTACAATTGCATACAATGCTATGCAAAGGTCAAGGTCAAAGTCAGGTCAAGTCAGCAAAGACGAACTGTAGAATAGGATATGTGCGACACAAATCTTAACCCGCGCCCGGCTGGGGGTCCTGGATTTCCACGCCCTGCTGGGGGGGTTGTTTGAACAGCCCCCCCCCCCTTCTAACTCGGCTCCTGGGCCACGTAGCGATACGCGGAAGGCGGCGTTCGAAAGAGCGTCAAAAATAATGAGGAAATCACTTCGGTCAATTTTTTGGTCAGGTCAAAGGTTAGGTCACCAGAGGTCATTGAAGGCAGAATTTCGCCGATTTCCAGGTCGAATGTCGACAATTTCCAAAAAGCCAGCGCATAACTCGGTAACCAATAGAGCTACAGCGCCGCGGAAAAGCGCATTCGATAGCTCTATTAACGCCCTTTCTGAGTAATTTTCTCAGATTTGACCTAACGTCAACGGTTTTGCCTGCAGGGGGCAAAAACTGCAAAAATAGCCGATTTTTTCGGGAACAGTTTTTCTGCAATAACTTTTGACCAAGCCTTGTACGAGCTTACTTTTACCGGCATCGTGTTCCTCTCGTTAAGACGCATCGAATGAACTATAACTTGACCTTCAAAGGTCAACTTGAAAATTTGACCTCAGGTCAAGGTCATGACCTGACCGGAAAAGGTCATGTTGCATATCAGTCGATCCGTATCGTCGAGCTGAACACATCTAAGGCGTTTTCATCGCTCTAGCATGCCTCTATCAAAAGTTATTTGCGAAAAACTGTTAGATACAATTCGTGAC